GATGGATTTTAGATCCTGATCGTTACACTTCACAGTGTGCATCATTTTGTGTTTTTCTCTTCAATTAAACCAGGATATGCTATTCTCTTGGTTTCCATCTCCATCTTATGTGTCTCTGGAAGACAGGAGAAGAGCTTGAACTGCAGGTCTGGGTAATTTCCATCCCGGAATCCTGCAGGCCTTGTGCAGACCACTTCTTTGTGATTGTACAAGTCCTCTTCAGTCTTAATTTAGTTCGGTCTATGTTAAGTTTTCTTTTCATCTGTGTCTTTTTTTAGATGTTGTCAAGATTGCCTGTTAGCTTCAAGTTGTCCAATTAGTCTCATGTCTTGCCCCTTTTTTTTGGCCGCAAAAGAATCAGGAGAAAGTTTGCAGCCACATGGCTGTACCTGTACCTCTTATCTTTGCATGGTCACATGGGGCTGGTGCCTATCTCCAGCAGTGATTGGGGAAGAAGCAACTCTGGACAGGTTGTCAGTGGTCCTCACAAACGTTTCCAAGTAAAAGCGCAATACATCACTTTACCACAAACTGTCAGAGAACGGCTTCCAACTCTGAACCCCCTGAGCAGCCCAATCACTCATTCGACCTCAGTATGGTTTAAGAAAGTAGTCCCTTCTTTCCTGTCGGATGCTTGTGGCTGATTTCTCTGTCTCTCGGTGCCAACTTGCAAAAGACGAGTGACAGGTTTTACAAGCAAACGTGTCTGTAAAGTTGTACAACATAGCTTTTGCAACATCTACATTTTTTTTTATATAAGTCCTGACTCTGTTTTGAGAATACAGTGCTCTTGCCCCAGGGTGAAGCTGTGTCTGTGTTCCAGTTCACAGGTTTCAGTAACAACACTCCACCCGGCATTTGACGTTAAGCTGAAACAGACAGCATTTCTGGATCGTATGCTCTGGAAATTCTCATCCACCAAGACTTTCTGGATGCCACAAGGGCTTCCCGCTGTTTTGAAGGAGCTGAACTTTTCCGCTGAGCAATGCATATCAAACACTGAGGCCTTTCTCTTGGTCCAGGCCAGCGAGAGCACACCAGGCAGCAGACAGAGAAGCTGGTGTACTCTGTGATTTCTAGATCCTTGGTATCCCTATAAGGCATTGATACCAGACATGTGAAATCAGGGAACACATTAGAAATCAATAAAGTGCCTGATGTCTATCAGTTCGGAAAACGTTACCAAGGACTTTCTAAAGCTTTGGGAGTCCAGAGAACCACAATGAGGGTCATTGTCCACAGATGAAGCAAGGAACAATGACCAATCTGTCCACAATATAATCTCTTCATGATTCCCAAGACTCTTGTTAAATCTGGCGTAAAGTTAACTCAGTATTTTTAGAAAAGGAATCATTATTTGCAACAATTGACAGGCTCAGCATCTTCTCCTATTTCAAAAAATTTGGAACAAACTTCCAGAAAACTGTAAAACAGCAGAAACCCTGACTTCCTTCAGATCTCAACTAAAAACACACCTGTTTAGAATTGTATTTGAAATGTAATATGTAACAATGTATTGTTTATTGCATGATGCATGACTTTGTGTTTTTGTGTTTATGATGTAAAGCACTTTGAAATGCCTTGCTGCTGAAATGTGCTATACTAATAAAATTTGATTTGATTTTGATTTGATCCGACAGACGGTCATGGATGGCGGGGACGGTGTTCTGGTCTGGAGATGCTTTGCTTCTCCAGGACCTGGATAACTTGTCAGACTGATGGAATCATCATTTTGCCTTGTGCAGAAGGAGAATGTCTGAGTATGGCTGACCTTAAGACCAAGCAGATTGGGTTCTTTTTAACGTGACAATGATCAAAAGCACATCGTCACTATAAGGCTCAAAAATGTCTGGCTCAAGGATATTTCTCAAGGATATTAGAGTCTCTATGACAACCATTAGATACAATATGTAAGTCAACTAGTTGATTGGGAGAAGTGTAATCTAAAAGACCTTTCCTGTTCTAGCATGACAAATACTTCATTGTTTGCCTAAGTCTTACTCTACTGCATCAGTCATGACAATCAATGATTGCTTGAGATGGGTCACTGGGTGTGTTCATAGAATATGTTGATTTAACACTCATGAATAAACCCTACAGTTTATACATTTGTCTTAATTTAAGAACACATTTGGGCTTCACGTTTTAAGCGTATCCTTTTGAACAGCATCCTTTTCAATACATTGATAAAGATTTGCCTTAGTTCTTGCCTGACCCCAAGCCGAGATGGAAGAAAATATCTTCATTTGTCATAATAGAAAATTTCTGGCAAAATTGCAAACAATCACTCAGTTTTATCCAAGCAAGTCTACCACTAATAAATCTTTTTCCTGTCATGCTTTTCAATTTGTGTAATTCTTAACACATGGAGAGAAAATAGGCCACAGGTCTGGAGATAATCAGCTTATTCCCTCCAGTGTCTCCTCTTTCTGCAAAGACAAAAACATTTTAATCAGTCAATTTATTTTAGTCTTCTTTTTTGTGCAGGCTTTAAAAGCCCACAGTGAATTTATGAGAAAGGCCACAACCTTTGGTCGGGGGATGCAAACTGTAGGTAACCATAGCAGGTAACCATAGAAACAGAATTAAGCTCCAGAGATGAATTCTGCATGAACTGCAAGTCGTGACAAACTTTATCAGTGCTCTATGCCACGCACTGCACATGATGCACTGGGCCAGAGCAAATACACTTTGGTTTTTTTAAATATTGCAGAGATTTTGGGTGAGCAACACTTTACATCTTTGCTACAAATGAACATGTAATGTATGTTTCATCGTCTTATTGTTTTAGTGCAACATCTCTGAAAGACGCCACAGTGAAATGTTTCCGCTGGTGGTATAGGTGGGCTCATGGGAAACATGTGGTAACACATGGCAGATGTTAAAACATCTGTGTTTCCTGTTTAATCATTTCCAAAGTATCATGAATAGAAGAATGGATCATGGCAAAACTATATATTTATCCACTGATTTCCATCCGTGTCGTGCTAGTGCACATACAGCAGGGAAAATTCACACCAGATGCCATTAACAGCTAAAGTACCAGAATCAGCACTTACATGTGGAAAAAAAGAAGAAACAGGTTGTGTGCAATAAAATAAAATGACTAGTACTGAACATGATTCAGACTTGCAGAAACTATGAATCGTACACTTAACCAATTAAGCCCAACATATTTTGGGTTTTACAAAAAATTACAACTTGCCTGATTTATTCTAGCAGCTTTATTTTTGGTCTCTAAAACCAATGGAGGTTTTCTTTTCCCTTTATTACATTCATTTTCTTATTAACAATGTCATTCATCTGTCCCTCTATTATAAAGTTTGTTATTGTCATAACAGCCCCACACCATAATGTTCTCACTCCTGTTGGAGCACTGCTATCCCGCCTCCAAGCTCAGTGAGAGTGTGAGTTCAAATTTAACTCCAGCAAACTTTAAACAAATTTCAACATGCTTTTCTTCAACAGTGGAGCACTGTGTAATGACTGCATAGAGGCCACTGCAGTTGAGTGAACTGATAATTGTTTTCAGAGAGAAAATGTACCTGCTAATTCCAGTTCTTTCCGAAGCGCTCTGTAAGTGGCCCTCTTGCAAGCTTTCAGATTTTGTGAAGTGCCAATGCATTCTGTTTTGACGTCTGTGTCATAAGTCTGTAGAGAAGCGCCTAGGTGGTACCCCTGTAACATTCCAAAGACTATAAAAATGTCTATTATCAGTGCTATGCTATGAAGTTGCAAAGTTCTTGATAGATAGTCATTGCTTTTAACCATCCCGACAAGCCTCTTCTGTGATGCCTTGGACATCAATTAGGACTGAAACTGGCTGATGTTATTTTCCACTGGTAGCAGTTAGAATTGGTCTTAAATCTTTGGCAGAGTTCAGCTTTTCTGGCTATCTTTGCAAAGCAGCTCTTGTTTTCAACACTTACTCCCTGTGCCATTCTTTTTCGTTACACATTTCATGAACTGACTTGCGCTGATTCCTGGGGCTGCTGCTGACATCCGGTTGGATTTACACGTCCCATTAGAAGTGTACACGCCACGCTGAAATCATTTGCTCACCACCCCGTATCATTGGATTCAGGTGTTCTAGTCCCTCCTGCGGCTAACTGTGTATGAAGTGCTGCGCCTCAACACGCAGACTTCTTCCACAGTCTATTGACTTTGCAATATTTAGCTCGTACTTTGTTTGGGATGTGACTGGGAATGCTAGCAATTAAACCACTGATGAATCGACACAGAAAATTCAACATTTAGCCTCAGTCCAGTCCTTGCAGAGATCTCCCAAAGTCTGGAATGGATTGTGCTTGACAATCCTTTCAAGGTTGTGGTTCAGCCAGTGTCCTTTTCTTTCTTTGTTTCTCTCATTGTCTCAGAAAACCTTTGCAGGTGTTTTGAGTTAAGTAGCTGATTAGACTAAGAATAAGTTTTGCTTCAGCCTATTCCTTTTTTGGTAAATTGTGGGTTATTTATTGTTATTTCTTTGTTGTTTCTGGTGATGTGGACAGTTTACCAAAATAAAATAAATGAATGAAAAAAAAGAATGATTAGGAGCTGATTCTGACATTTTCATGGCATTCAAAATGTCAGAGGTGCTAAAATTCGGGTTTCCATTGTCTGAAAGCCCACGATCGTTAGAAAAATGACAAGAAATAAAGGGTTGGGATATGTCACCTTATGCGTTATGATCTTTTACGACACACCAGTTTCACTTTTTGAGATAAATGAAAAGAAATACCGCATATTTGCACTGCATTCATTTATTTTAGAGGTAGCAGTACCTCCATGACGAATTGGTCAAATAAAAAACAAAACTCACCTGTTTTACAAGCTACCTCAGTGATATAATGTTAATAGGATGTTCGTGTTAAACATGGCGGGGCGCCCACAGCGTCGCGTCCCGCCGCGTCTCGAGACCGTTACGGCGCGCGCGGCGCGGTGCGGCGCGGTGCGGCGCGCGGCGGCGCTCCGCCTGTTCGTCGCTCGCGCTCGGCCTCGGCAGAAGCTCGAGACGTCGCCGGAGTCGCACGCAGAGCCGAGCCTTCAAAACCGAAGAAAAGAGAAAGAGAGAGGGGGAAAAAAGAAGACAAAAAGTAGGCGAACCGACGCTTTTATTTTCCCCCATCAGCCGCCGACACCCAGAGACGCATTTTGTGACTCTGCCATCTTCAACAGGTTCAGCACCATGAGGAGGACCGCCGCCAGACACTTGTTGTGCTTGCTGCTGCTCTCCGTTCCGCTCTCGTGGGCAGAGGACACGAAAAAAGACGCGAGGAAGACCGAGAACGTCACAGGTACGGACGTTCAGCAAACACATTGCAGCCGGCTTTCTTTCTGCTTTTTATTATCCGTAATAATTGTTCGCCTGAGGGACGCGCGGTCCGTGGAAATGATGGATAAATCCCGCAAAAAGCCAGGCGCTTATATAGTCCGACTGACAATATATGCTTCCACCTCACATCTGGAAAACTTAGGAAAGTCTGAGAAATTAGCTCATTTCTCTCTTTATGTGGCTTAATAGACAACATCTGGTTAATGACGAGCAGTTAAAAGCTCTCCTGTTCGAGCATGAGGCATTCTGGGTTTTATCAGTCAGACTGGTATCTGAAAAAATTGTACATGTACTTTAGTCACTTTTTGAAACTGCTATGTTACTTTTAGCTAAATAAATGCGTATGAAAGAGCAATATTAGTTTATAAATAAAATATTAAGTCATTTTAATTGGTTCAATAATGCTGAGGTACACCATTGAAGCAAAAGGTTTGCAGGAAATTAAAAGACATGTTTATTTTAATGTCTATACTTAAATCACACCAAACGTATAGTTTCTGGTCATTGAGAGTTTCTGAAAAACTATTTCTATTTGCTGCAGTGATGAGAGAAACGTGTCAGGTTTATGTCTTTAAAATCAAAAGTTTATGTAGGTTATTCTTTGGTTGCATTGCCTTTGAACTCTATGACTTGGGTTATAAAAACCATGGTTTCCAACACTTAAGAAATTATTCTGAAGACTTTTTTTCTCTCCATTTAATTAAAAAAACACATCACCCCCACATAATGTAACTTTTTAATTTTGGACTGAAACACATGTAAAATACTACATTTTTCTTTTTCAATATATATCATTATATATATCAGTCAGTTTTGCTCTTTAATTTATATATATATATATATATATATATATATATATATATATATATATATATATATATATATATATATATATATATATATGTGACTATTTGAAACGGTTGAAAATAAGACATTTATGAATGTTAAGAAATTATTGTTGTTTGCTTTTTTGCTATAAAAGTGAGTAAAACAGGATAATATTTTTCATACTTTGAATGGTAATGTATTCAGCACCAAGTCCGGCACTCTGAGCATCTGCTTCGATCATTGTCCCAGAAATGTTGCTTAAAAACTGCATTTTGTTTTGTCCAAATGTAGCCCAGGCGAACAAAGATATTAACTCAGTCTGAAAAGTGTGGGTGTTAAATCGTATATATCACCCATGCACACAATGCTGTTCACAAAACTTTTCCACAACTTTATCTGATCACATCTCTTACTGTGTTATTAATGTTCCACAGTCCAGACCAATATCCCACAGATTCACTGAGACTGAATTTCACACAGGTGAAGCCTATTTACTAATCCAGTGACTTTGGAAGGACATTAAGGGTATCGGAGTAAAGGGGGGTGAATGTCAATGCACAACACCTTTCACAGTTTCATATGCTAATTAATTCTGAAATCCATGTATCATTTCCTTCCATCTCACTATTCTGCACTGCTTTGTGTTTGCCTGTCCAATAAAATCCCAAATGGATATTCTGATTTTTGCAGTGCTAACAGTGTGAGAAAGCTCAAGGGGTTTGAATACTTTCAATGTTGAAAGTATCAAAGCATTGTGAGGATGACTACGTTGATTTGCGCCGAAGCAGCACAGTGTTTCTGTTCATATTTTAACAATACTTCGCCATTAGTCTGTGGATACCATCCAACCTCTCATGCTCAAAGTATAATTAAATTAAGCCTTGACAACTCTCTTTAGGAGATGCTAACCAAAACATCTGCTAACATATTTTCCTCTGGAGATCAAAGGAGCATATTCTTAAGCAGAAGAAGTCCTGCCTAATGACTGAGTAGTTGTTCTCCCCAGAGGACTCCACTTGCACCGATTTTCACATCTTCAACTCATTAATGGAGAGTGTTTTTTGGCTGCCTCTGAGATAAATGTTCATCTACTTTAGCTATAAATTCCATCGCTCAAAACAGATGTAACATGCCAAGTTCTCTGTTGCTCTCACCCACCAATTATCTGGCAATTCGCTGACCCCTCGGCGCCCTGCTCGTTGGTGATAGGCCAGTCTAAATTAAACCCTGTTCTTCCAGATGATTAGGTGCAACTTGGCCCGGGGGGTTGTTTTTGTTCTCTGTCATTATTCTCCTTCTGTTATGAAAGGCTAATGTCACGGGCGTAACAGTAAATAAAAAATAAAAAAAAGACAGTTTGGTATGCATCTGTCATGGTTGGTTTCAAGTCGGATACGAATGTAGGCAAAACCGAAGGCAGGAGGTGAAGCGGAGGTCTGTAATTATGAAACCATAAAAGAAAACCCTTCTTCAGCGAAAGACGGTGAGAACCAATGACAAAGAACAGAACGGGAGAATAAACTAGGAAACTGAGCACCAAGGAATAAACTTTGTATAAAGGTAACAATGAAGAACACTGGGAAATATAGGATAAAACCTGCTGCACTTAAATAATCTACAAGGTAATGATCAGATAAACTTTGGAAAACCAAAGTCCCGGGATTATTTTGGAGAACAATATTTGTACTTTGTTTACTGCTGTCCAGAGTTTAAAAAAGGGACAAAATACATTTTCTAATTTCTGAAATTAAAATGGTTTTATATTCTGAGACTTAAAAAAGTGGGAAGATAAGAACTGACTTGAGATCTGGTTGGATTTTTTTCAGTGAATAAAGCAGTGAAAGCTGGATAGATCGACTATAAAACAACATATCAATATTATTGAATACAATACATATATTGGCTCGGTGCTTCTCTAAAGACAGATCCATAGGATGTCCAATCGAGTGTCATTTCTTTTAATTCTAGAATTGAAATGATGCTTAAAAGTAAAGAAAAAAATGTCTCTTGTCTATAAACCTTTTTTCATGTGTTATCTCTCTTCCTAGTTTGGGGACAAACTAAAGCAAGACGACTATTTGCGAGGCATAAGATTTCTCCAGCAGAGCAGAGTCACATTGTAAGTTTTTACTCTTTTTTGATTAAAGCAATTTTCTTGGGGCATATAAATACTACGCTGACAGTATTTACTGCCAACACGGCACAGTGAATACTGTACGCCTTCTTGTTGTCTAACAAAGGTTTTGCTTTTTCTCACTGAACAAGAAATAAAGTTCCCTTATTGACCAACTCCTATCAATGACCTGTAAATCCTTCCACTAATCCTGTCACCGTAAATAATTATGTTGGACGATAAATCGTCCCACTAATTATTACGACAGGCGATAATATTATAATATATTGTCACATTTCTAAAATAATGGCATAAGTTTTATGTTCTCTTTTCTAAAACATTCCAAAAAAATCACTTTTGCCAAAAAGATTGGTTTTTTTTCCAAAAGTGATACATTTTAGGAAGGTGATAATATTGAGAATGGGGTGATAATGCCATTTCGCCTCCAGAACACCAATAAACTTGAATTTTTCCAAAAAACACTTCACATTTGAACCGGGAGACAAAATAAAACAATAAAAAATAATGAAACAAAATCCTCTTACAACCAGAAGCATAACTGCCCTTCAAAAATATTAATCACCAAAATGGAAATTATTGAGCTCATCTTTATTGATCACGTGATTAATTGATCAATTTCTTACTGCTACATGCTTATCTTTCACACACCCGTCCCAACATACAGCTGAGTCGACTCCAGACTTTCTCCCTGGTTTATTGTTATTGATCTGAGGTCCAGTCTCTATTCCAACATGCCATGTTGTCGCCTTCACTGCCGTTTCAGAGACACAAGTCCCACATCCTGACCCCGGCGCGGCGCTGCGGCCGCCTGATGGAGAACTGCTCCTCACACTTGCCTTGCTGCGACCCGTGCGCCTCCTGCCGCTGCCGGCTCTTTAACACCATCTGTCACTGCTGGAGGATGAATCCGCTCTGCCTGAAGAGGACCTAGTGGCGACCCGCCGGTACACCCCTGCACACACTTGGGGAGTTTTCTCTAATTCTGCTTCAATCATCCAACAGCAGAGCGCAGTCGCTGTGAATAAGATAGTAAAAATAAGGGGATGTTTCTAAGGAGATATAGCATAAAAGAAAAGCTAAGTTGTCATCACACGCAGCTTATTTATCTGCCTCTGAAGGCAGATAAAGACGCAACATATGAGCCTGCTAGATCTCACTAAAAGTGTACAACGTTTCCTGTATAAACACTGATTCTTGCCATTTCTCTGAAAAAATTAGAATAGAATAAGTTTATGAAGTGATTCTGGCTCATTACACTATTGAGCTGTCTGTTAGCTCACATCAGTGTGTGTCGCCTCACAGAGACGAGACAGTTCAAACGAGACAGTTCAAAGCATCGCTGCTGCGCTAAGATTGCCTTAAAAACAGGAATGGTGTTCCTATCAGAGGGTGTAGCCAATGGAAAACTTGACTTGTGTCATTTTCCTTGTTTCTTGCCAATAACGTTAACTGTGACTGAATTTCAGGCATTGCTGCTTTTGAATATTTGCATATTTTCTCCTGTCACTCATGTGGAGACCCTGACATTTACTGTACGACTTCAGTATCTTTTCTTTAAGACTCACAGCAGAAGTGGTGTGGAAAAACAAATTGCATGTACATTATTATTCCTTTACTGCTTGCACTTAATTGTTTGTGTGTGGTTTTATGAGGTCAAATGACTATATTTTTGCTATCTAATAAATATGCAGTAAACTGATGATGATATGGGGTTTGTGTTGAGCTGAAAAGTAAAAAAAAAAAATTAATTAAAAACATCTTAAAAGAAAAAAAACACAATTTACATTGTTGGGAAAATAAGCTTTTAGGTTTCATTTTTTGTCACACTGAGATGTTTCACATCATCCAATATATTTTTATGTCAAAGATAACATTACTAAATACCACATGCAGTATCCTAGCAGGCAGGGTTCACCATTTTTCCATAAAGTAACAGGCTACAGTTCTCATAATATGCTGAAATTAAACAATTTTGAAATCATTTAATATCAGCCGTATTAAATACTGACTAAAAATATGGAAATTGTTGTTTTCTCACAGTAATCTTAGATATATTATGAAAATATAGCAAAACAGGAACTTTAATAAAAGATGAAAAGCTGCTCTTCTATAAAAAGGGTTGGTTGAGATCAAAACGTCAGTCTGAAGAAAAAAACAATAAATCATGCAAATGGAAATTATAGAGGTCATTTTAATATATGATGCGATAAATTGGCTTATCGTTTATTGTGACAGGGCTAGAAAGGAGATTGTCGAGTTTCTATATTTCAAAACAGAAATGCATGAAATGCAGACTCTGTTGGGACCGTTTCTCTTCCCGGTTCTGGGAAGGCCCCGCCATCTTTGTTTCTTTATCAACTGGCTCCACTTTAGGACGACCAGCGGCGACCTCTGCTGGATGGCGGCCACACTACAACACTGATAAAAGGACTAAGCGCACGTTATTTGTTAATAGGTAGGATCTAATTTGAATCTAATAAACCACTGATCAAGAAATCTGCAAGAAAGAGTGGTTTACAAATTTCTCTATGTGATTTTAAAGGACTGCTGAGAAAACAACTTTTTGCATTTAGTCAGGTTATCTTTGACAATTTGTTTGATAATCTAAAACGAATACAGCACGTTTTAAAGAAGGAAAATACTGACTGACTGAAGGCAAAATGAAGGAAGGATGGCTGACTACACCAGTGAGATCATTTAATGGAGCACAATCGAATGTGTTTCTTTCACACTCACAAACTTGGAAAGGTTTGAACAGAGAAGCAGTACAGCTTCGCACACAAGACGCATTCATGTTTCAGGGCAGAGCATGAGAAGAAAGATTGGCGATAAAGTCCAACTTAAATGTGTGAGCAGGGGAGCCATGAAATGACAGAGGCATCGTCCGTCTTCTCCATCAGGAAACACATTTGCTTTGTGCTGCTGCCGGACTCAGTGGGATTCTCACTGTGTGGACAAGAGTCAAGGAAGTTTAGGAATCTCTTTTATTACTGAGCAAAGCTCTCACTGAGGTTAACCTGAACGATTTTACGACACGTTTGGGGTTTCTTGGGAGAATTATTGAGCAAATGTTAGGATGAGATCTTTAATGATGAAATGTTAAGAACAAATGCTTTTTCTTTCATTCTCAAATTATGTAGTAAAAGATGAAAATATTTTTTTGGTTATTTCTGTTGACTAACCTTGTTTTTTTTTAGGACCATTCTTATTTTTGTTGGTGGAAAAAGACAAGCAAAACAGAAAATATTCATCCTAAAATGTTAGGCAATAGCACACATTTTTAAGGCAAAAACCATAAATTGTTTTTATTTTAGACCTACAATAATTTCTGCCTTTCTACTCATGTTCAACGAAATATTGGAATTTTTATTTACTGCAGAGCAGATGAAACAGAAGACTTCACAGTGAAATAAATTTGAATTTTTAGGGTTGGGCATTTTAACACGTTAATTTGGTTAAATAATTACACAAATTTTAACAGGAACATTTATGTTCAGCCGTTTCTGGTGCACCCGTAAATCTGACTCACAAGCGATGGATAATGAAGAAGTTTGTCTTGGTCCACTGAGGGTTAATATTTGCTTAAAAAAAAAGACAATAGGATGGGACGCTGGAAAACAATACTGTTGTCTTCAAGTTGTGCTAAAAGGAGTTAGCATATCAGCAAAGCTATTCAAGCCTCAAATAGCATCTCAATGGAAAACATTAGCAGCACCGATGCTAATGCCAATGCTAGCATTCGCAGCCCACATTTAAGGTTGTTTTTTTTATTTGAATAAGATCACTTTGCACCAATCTGATGATTGAATAACAGATTAAAAACTAAAAACATCTTCATTGAGCTCATATTTAAAAAAAATAATTTAACAATAAATGTAGTTTTTGAATATATAGACATGGAGTTAAATTAAAAATTGTTCATTGTTTCTGTACTAACTTCTACAGGTATTCAGTTTAAACATGGATAACAGTCTTCAAGTTTTACATTTATGCAAATATTCAAAACCCTGTATATGTTTACTACTTTATTACCCTTTCCTATAAGATCCCCCCACAAAAATACTTTGAATTTTGTTGTTGCAATATCAAGCAATTCAAAAGGAACAAAAGTAAAGTTAAACCTCTGTCAGTGATGTTGAAACAGGATTTGGCGTCGTTGCAGTGACTGGAACCACAGAGTGAAGCGTGCTGGAGGATCCAATCTGAAGAATAAAGGCTGGTATTCCAACCACAGCCAACTCATTTACACTGGTTTAATATGACGCACTGCAGCATGAGAATCCTATTTCATTTTATTTTTACAAGGTATTATATACACTGTTATTGGCTTTTCGAGGCTCTTGAGTAAGAACCCGTGTCTGCGTTTCAGAAGTAGCAGCAGAAGACTGCTGACAGGAATCACTTTATTTATCCAGTTTCTTCACCTGGAACTCATTTATCAAAGAGAAGAGCTGAAATGTGTTTCCCAGAAATTCCCTCTGTGGGTGAGAAAACAAGAGCAGCTCCAAAAATAAGACCACATTAAAACTTCTGAATGTGACCCTGTGGGTGTTTCTTTTGTTAATTTTAGCTTTAACATGAACAAGAAGAGTACGTTCACTTTTATTTGTGAAAAGACACAACGTGGCGCGGGACCCTGACGATGAAGGAAAAGTATTTGTGATTTTGAAAGGTTTTTCTTTGACAAATGATTACATAAAAAGTGTGGCGTGAACATCACCTGCGTGTGGTTACTGAAGTCCAGCTGTTCTGTGAAGTCACATGACATCATGAAGCCTCTTGAAGAACAAAGTAGTGAGACTTAGCAAATTTAAGTTATCCAACAATGTCCTATTTATCTTTTTTTATTTATCTTTTATCTTTAATATTGATTTGACAATCAATATTAAAATAAAATTGATTGACAATCAATTTTATCTTAATATGTGATGAAGCCTAAAATTCCAGCTTGAAACAAAGGAACCTTACAATCCCCTAAATAAACCTGTTGAACAAAATGGGAACTTCCAAATACAACTGTACATTTGTGAGTTGTAAGCCCCGCCCCTTTGTTTCTGCATTCCCAACATCATGGTGTGAAAACACACAACCTGTGATCTCTACTTATGGATTACTTTGTCATTTTGATGCAAAATGACAAAGTAATCCATAATGATCAGAAGTGGTTGTGTTTATTGCCAAACTGTGATCTGACAGAACGCTTCGTGTGTCTGAAATCACCCAGCTTTAGCAAGCTGCACTTTGGACTGTCCAGAAAACCTCCACCTGTTTTTTCTTTTTCAAGGGGCCAAACTTTCTTGTCCGTCCGCCCGTCCATCCATTTTCTGTTCACCCTTGTCCATAGTGGGGTGGGGGGTGGCTGGCGTCTTTCTTCAGCTACGTTCCAGGTGAGAGGCGGAGTACCAAACTTTCTTGTAATGAAAAAAAAATATTTTATGTCTGGCATCAGACAAATTTAGAGGAAAAAAGCCAAATATTAACTGGGCAAAATTGCAAAGGTCCAGCACTGTGAAAGGGGCTTAGCAAACAAAAAGAAGAGTCCATTGATTTATATGGCGCCACTTTGGATTTAAAGACACAGACCGAATAAAAACACACGATTTGCGATCAGTGACAGCAACCATCTAGGATTTAAATGAGACAGGATCCATGAGTAACTTATTAAATTTAAAGTGAATTTATGAAATTAATTTTACATACATTACATACATTAAAACCCATGGGCAGAAATCCTAAGGGAGTTGTGGGATCCGGAACCCCCAAACTTGGAAAAGTCTACAATTGACTTAGGCTTTTTTGTCAAAGAGAGTAAATATCTCATTCATATTTAGCACTTTAACTCTTACATTCATCAGAAGAGTTTGAAACGGGAGGCAGGGCTGAGCAAGTGCCAGCAGCTCTGCGTGAGGGAGCCAAAAACAGCTCATTTTAATAGTCCAGAACTTGTATTGGGAGCCATTACAATAAATCAGTGTTTATGAGGAGTTTAATCAAGGAGTTACTCATTAAAACTTTTTATTTAGAACCTTACACTTTTGTAAAGGTAAAGCAGAGGTTCGATCAGTGAGACTGAGCAAAATGTGTACGGAAGCAACATTTGAATTTTAGTTTTACTTCTCAACAGTTTGTTTACTGAGAAAAACACGTCTGATGTGCATCACTAGTCATCTTTGGTCCTGCAGCTTGAAGGAGCTTTTAAAGCTTTTTGAATCACATTTTACGTTACACGTCAAGGTAACTTTGACAACCCTCCCCTCCCCAAAACAAATTGTTCCTAAAAAATGTTCCTGATTATTGTTTCAATAATGAGATGGGATTTATTCCCTTCCTAAATGTAGCAAGCCTGTTTCATAAGAGTATCTTCAGTCAGAGGCTACTTCAGACTCGCTGCAATATAGACCGCTACAGAGTCGACCTGATCATAGCATCAGCATCTACAACAACACTTGGAAGAACTTTGGATGATATGACTCACATTTCATTTTCACTGGGTATAAGTAAAGTATTTCTGAACTGAAAGAAGAACTCTTTCATGACACGGACCTCTGCTTTGTGACGGCACGTTGCCAACGTGTTTCCCCTTTAATTTATTCTCACTTTGCTAAGAGAGAAACCTAAAATTAAATGATAATAAATAACCATCTGTGTTCTGCTGTGTGAAAAGGCCGCTGTGGGCGCCGCTCCGCCTCAGGCTGCCATCTCATCAGTTGGCGACTCCCACATATTTCATTTGAGTTATGTCTTTAAAAAGTTTAAGTCACAAGATACAACACACCTTCATCGTTCTGTGCCTGGCCTTACCAGCATCGTCTTCCTCTTATGAAGTTGCCAGGGTATGAAAAAAAAAACCCAAAAATATTTAGAAAAATTAAAAGAACAATATGTACATATATTAATATGTACACTCAATGTTTTTTTAGTTAAAATGGTGCTTATTTAGTTTCGCAGCCAAGATCTGACTGCTCTGGCCTTAAGATGTTCATTGTGTTCAGAGAGACCGCCTGGGGGAACAAACGCTCTGTGTTCCTCGCACATAGTGGCGACTGCCTGGTGAGAAAAATTCTTGGAAACATTCAGATGAATGTTCGGAAAATGACGACAATCCCTCAGAAAAACATAACGTTCTTCAAACATTAACACTTTAACAGAAGCAAAAAGGCAAGAGGAGCTTCATATCAAAAACATAAAACCAATAAAAAAAACCTTAGCAACATTCACCTGAAGCAGCATTAGCATCATGCTAACCAGAGCAACATAAACCACAGCAAAGCTCATAATTGATCAGCTAGGAACAAATGGTACCAGCTGATGGACATGAAAAGAGCCCAGCAATGTTTGCTAATGCTAATAAACACGCTGCGCAACAGAAGCTGCAGCTCAGCAGCCATTTGGAAAAATCCTCTGCGTCGTCATTCAAGATGGAGAATTCAGTCCAAGCTTCCCTTCAAGTCTCCATCATGAACCGTCACCACAGCAATCCAAAACTTCCAGCATTTTCAGTAGCAGGGACAATATTTCCAGCGCCCCAAAGACCTTAAATTTAACACCTTAAATTTAACAATGGTGATTGGCCAAATATTTTTTTATTCTTCGCTAGCATTCACATATGATTTGCCATTTTGCTCCAAAGCTCCTCTGATGAGAAATTATTGAGTCTGTTGGGGAAAATTCACAGTTGAATGACAGTCAGTTGGTAGAAATGTTGCGTAAATAATTAAGATTACGTTTTGCAATTAAGAAAAATGACATTGATAATAATTTTTTAAATATATATAAATCTTTAGATTTTCCCCCCAAAATGTCACTTATAGAAAGAAAAGATTATCATAGCAATGAGTTTATTTTACAAAACTCTTAGCAACTGGTTTTCTGGAATGATTTAGGACGAACTTTAACATCAAATTCAGCCAATCTTGCAGCCGCATTTATGAAACACAGATGAGGAATATGAAACTCTTCTAAATCAGAAGGTTGACTTTCCTCAGACTTCACAATAATTCTGATGTCACAATAAATCATTCCTTCCCTAGCCTCCTAACCTCACCTGTTGGCTCAGTGTTTTTATGCGTTTCAATAGAAACGTCAACATGACAAGAAGAACCTGGGCAGTTATTTCCACAAGTTAAATGCTAAAACCAATTTTTTGTTGACAAATTTACCCAAATCCCAACGGCTCCAGGCAGAAAAGCAAATGGAGGAGGTAAAAACAGGAGCAAAAAGAAATAGCCCACCACCCTCATGTTGTGCCATGTTAGCATGTGAATTAAATAATAATAAGATTGTCAATCAGACCTTCACTGTAACCAGGAAATATTGAAACAAGTATAGGTCCCTCTGCCCACGATGTCAAAATGATCAGTGCATGTTTTATTGTCCTTGTGTCACCAGGTTTGATTAACCCGCCTTCCAGCTTTCTTTATGCAACTTATTCACGATGAACCAAACCATACTGATTCATAAAGGACAGGATTTTTATTTAAAGTTCTAGAATCTTTGTCAAAGGTACATTAGCAAATATAACAACACATTAAAACATGTCATTGAAATGAATATAGAGTGAAAACAGTGGTATGTAAATGTATTCATTCTGAACAGAGGTTCTCAGAGGCCAAGTCTGCAGTTTGTTTGTCCTTCAGACCTTCACTGAAACACAAGAGAGAAAAGAAGAGCTCCATTTATTTCAAATGTATTTTAACACCTGAAATGAACTTCTGAGTTTATTTTATGCTGCTGTTCTTACTACACTGGCCGGGGATCTCCACTGGAACGTAATTCTGCCGGCAGAGGTGAACAAACGCTGCCGCTAACCTGCAGGGCGCTTTGGAGGAGCTCCGCCCACACACAGACAGGAACTGGGCTGGATCCACCTGAACACACACATCCCCGCAGCTAGCTGCTACTCTGGTTCCTATACACTCAGGTCAGCAGCACTTCTTTCTCATTTTTTACATTTGATTACAAACTTCAGTTTGTTTTTTGCAATAAAGTAGTAGATGCAAATTAATAAATTCCAAATTCCAAAATTTTAAACAATTTTTTTAAATATAAATGCACACCGCACATTGTAGATCTTTGGACACATTTTACTGCATTTACAGCTGCAAGTCCTCTCTTCCAGGTTTGCACATCTGAATGTGAATAGTTTGAATATTATTCAAAATGCTGTGAGCAAATTCAAGTAAAAAATCCAACTAAAAATGAAGACTTCTCATGCAGTCATCGGGTTTTTATTTACATTATAAAAATCTCTGCATCTGTTTGGATCATATGGTCCTGTAAAGAATATCTCAACAAGATTTCACCTGAAAAGGAGAAAAACACATTTTTTTGGACAACTTATCTGCTGTTTCTTGCCATGGAATTCAATACAATTTTGGAAAAATCTCCTTGAGATGTCCTGCCAGACAAATCTCCTCACACAGTGCTTCCCCCCCCCTTAAATCAGCTTGAATTTCTTTATCTCCAACAAGTTAAAAAGCGGCTGAGAAATACCAGAAGTATTTTCCTCTTCACTTACCACTCTGAAACAGGAACCGAGAGGCGAATCTGGGGAAGAGAAGAAGGAAGCGCAGCTCGCTGGTCTCGCCGCTGCTGTGGAAACTTCTGTGGATTTACTGCACTTTGGCTCCAGCTGCAGACGCAGACAGACAGGACCGGCGAAAGATAAACACGCTCAGATAAGCTCTACTCCACCAAAGCAAACATTTATGACATTTAAACATTGAGGGAGGAAAAACAACAACAAAAAAATCCGACCTCCCAGCTGTGGAAAAACTCCTCCAGAGTCTTCGCCTGAGATCCGTCACGCAGAGAGAGATCGTTGCCTGCGTCGTTATCGTTGGTCCCCAGCAGGCCGGTGGATGCGCCTGAGCAGGGAAACGAGTCCGAGCAGAAACGTTTTCCGTGGAAATCACACGCTTACATACGGCTCAGAAGTTTATGTACGCCGGTGGAATTTCTGAAGTTTTGGACGTTTTTCAGAGAATATGACTGATAACGCAGAAACCATTTCCACTCACGCTCAGTGGTTTAAATAAGACTTTTTTTTTTCAAACAAACGGGTTTACTCTTTGTAAATCACTAGAAAAATGTTATTGTGATTTTTGTTTGACAATAAATTGCTTCGGCTAACCACAGAGCACGAGTGAAAATAATTGTATTTTGTGTTCTCAGGCACTTTTCATGGAAAATGGATAAAAAATTTAAAAAAATTAGAAATTCCACCTGTGTATGTAAACTTATGAGGCCACTGGTACCCTGAATAAAAAAACCATAATCTTACCGTCTGACATTAAAGCAAACACATTTTCTTCTTATTTGTTTTAACGTCACACTGTGAGAAAAAAAACATGACTTTTTTTAAAAACAATAAATGTAAAAATCAGGTGTCAGCTCCTACCATGTAACCATCCATCCAGGGTGAAGCTGCACAACTCCAGCTGCAGGTCACATGACACGGACTGTCCCTCCTGATTGGACACCTGTACTTTGTTTGAGCCTTTTTTCACACTCAGTCCACGGCTGCTGAGGGGTCCATGTGGGACAGCGTCCTTACAGTCAGCTTTCACCTGAGACAGAGAGAGTCTCTGTAACCGTCGGCAGCAAATCTGATTAAACACATCGTTCACTTACAGTGCCTGTAAAACGTATTCACTCCACTTGGGTGTTTTGTGACGTTTTTGCTTTGGAAAATCAATCACCATCAACAAAATGTGGCCTTTTTGACAAAATAGAAACTGAAAAACACGAGACAATTAACCCTTTTTTGTAACTTTTTGTGGAAATAAAACAAAACTTTGTTGATGACAACTGATTTGTAAAAGTGATTTTTTTAAAAAGGCGGGGAAAAACATCCGAGAGGATGAATACTTTCCACAGGCAGTGCACAAACCTGTCCGGTGTGCTGAATGTGGACGCTGCTGTTGCCCATGCGTATCAGCAGGGAGCGCTGAGCGTCGGCGCCTAGCAGCAGCGTGAAGGACGGCTCGGTGCGGACGTCCTGGGCGAGGAGCAGCGGACAGGAAACAGGAAGTTCATACAGGCGGCCGTCAAACGTCACCACAAACTGATCAGCCACCAGCAGCGCCTGGTCTGTGGGAACACAGAGAGGGGAGAGGCAAACACATTACAGGTGACCTATGATGCTTAAGACAGGTCTATAACGAAATGCAATGAACGAAATGTGTTCATTACATTTGTTTTGTTTTTTGCAGAAATTCATTCTTAGATTATGAGATTTCACCTGCTCAGTTCTGCCTATTTTCACCTCCTGTCAGAATGAGCTGTTTATGACTCTGTCACTTTAAATCCAAATAAACTGCTGCTGACCACGCCCCGCACGCAGTCAACGTTTACACGTGCACATTAAAGTGGCTGCAGTTATACAAGCGTACATCATTGAAAAGCAGAAGTGGAGCCTCCTGCACAGCCAGCGAGAATACAGCAAGTGGTTTGCAAAATGGAAAATCCACAACACTTGTGTTTTCCAGTAGCCACTGTACAGCGCATACGGCGGTAAAACAGACAGTTGCTTATTTTGTATTTTTAATTCAATATTTGTCGCTATTTCGACACAGAAAGCGTCTCATTTAGATTCTCAAAATAAGAGTTCATTCACGGAAGCATGCAGTTAATATTGCTGGTAACGTGAGATCAAAATAATAGGATTGTAATGTGATTACCAACTTTGTTTACTTTAGCTAGAAACAACTGGTGGTAGTTTAGGTTCATTTGTAGAAGTTGATTTATTCTTTTTTGTTGCGTCTATTATTGCTCCTTTTAGTAAAGAACATTTATTTGAGTACAGTGCAGCACCGAAGCAGATCTGCCTGACGGTTCTTTGTTCCATTAACACTCTAGACGGCGTCAACAGGTGCTCTGGCAGGAACTGCAGTACGAATTAGTGACACCACCCCGAAATGAGTGTTTCCAGTAAGAACAGTGTTCCCTTCCCTTCACTTGGCTACGTTTGAACAAAACAAAAACAGACAAACTAATTTGATAAATGTCATGGATTCCTGCTTTGTAGAAATCAGGCTCCTGAGTCTGAAGAGATGCGTTTTATTGGAGGCGAACTGTTTCCATCGGCAGATGTGTTTTGTCAAGAGACAAAGGAGTCGGTGTGTGATTTACTGCCGCTCCTCTCTCTCTGACTGGACAGGGTTGCCAGCGCTGAACTCCACTGAGCTGCGGTCCGAACATTCCGAAAGTCCAAAAGTTCCTGTAATGGCTTCAGCGTGAACAAGAACGCTGGCAGGAACTTTGACGCATGAAACCAGCTCAGAAATCTGTTCAGTCAGATAAAAACATTGATGAGCAAACGTGGCGCAGGATCCGGATATGAACTGTAAAAGTATTCAGAGCCAAGCCGGCTTCTTAAGCTGCGCCTGGTTTTTAAGAAATCAGACTCCATTATGCGTCTCCCCAACCACAACAATGACAGACAGTTTACTGAAGTGGTTCCAGTGAAACAAAACGTCTTAAAGCATCATCTGTTACTGCAACAGCTGAATATGAAATCATGTTTAAATAATTACAAATTCATGATAATTACTGAGTCAGTAAGTATCATGTTTGAATAATATGAGATAAGGTGAAAAATTAAATAAGAACGCTTTGTTATGATTACATAAAGTGTTTATGTATGCACTCCCCCCCCCCTTGTTTTTAAAATCCTGTTTGAAATAAATACATCAAATAAAAAACTCCTGTTATGCTTCATGTAACCATAACCTAACAATAGGTTTGATATGAACATATTGAATCTCAACCCTCGAGCAGCTTACGTCTGAACGGGCTGTCCATCATTCTCCTCTTGAAGCGATAAAGCTCGGCTGCAGGTCTGACAGAGGCGAGGGCCCTCAGGGGCCCCAGGAGCCACTCCTCCAGCACGGTTTCCAACAACCTGCCCTCTGTGGCCCTGGACAGGCTGAGATTCAGCAGCGGCACCGACAAAGCGACCGTGCAGTCCCTGAAAGAAACCACACATATCTGGCCAAGTGGCTCCCTGGACTGAAATCGTCAACATGTCGTCTTTATTTGGATTTCAACCGACTGAGGTCAGCGGGGGCTTATTCTGAGAAAACCGAAGGGATACATTCCAGCTCTTACACGGTCGAACGTTTTCATAAACTCAGGAGCTAACGGAGGTTTAAGGTGAGCCTGAGTTATGCAGTACCTGCGGCTGAATGTGTAGAGAGAAGCCAGTCGTTTCCTGAGTCCAGACAGAGCCGTGGCCAGCCTGGCCTCGGCCCAGTGGGAGCTCTGCTGACCCGCCTGAACCAAACACTCACAGTTACTACACAGTACTCATGGTATTCACATGCTTTCATTGACTTTTAGGATTTTTATGAGTCTGCTCTGTTGTGGCACTGTTTTACAACCTGAAACAAGAAAAATAATTCCCAGAAAAAATGAACAAACATTAAGATAATGCTGTTAATAAGATCGGCAACACTAAAACTTTACTTTTGTACACAACACACCACTGCACTGCAAAAACACAAAGTCTTACCAAGTAGTTTTGGTCTAATTTCTAGTCTAAATGTCTTAGCACACCTGAAATAAAACGAAACTAATTTAAAAGTAACTCAGCTGCAAAGCACAGGTGTTTGTTTTAAGTAAATAATTTCTTCATATTGATGAGAAAGTTCTCCATTGGCAGATTCTTTAACTGTTAAGACATTTTTACCTTTTCATAAGTGAATAGTTCTGCCAATGGAACGAGAATTTTCTCTTCAATATTAAGGAGATATTCACTTATGAAGTTACTTTTAAGTTAGTCTTATTTCAAGTATATTAAGATATTTTCTGCTCAAACTAGACCAAAATTACTTGGTACAATTTTGTGTTTTTGCAGTGTGGAACGGGAAGAAAATGTAAATATCCGAAATCAAACCCAGCAATCAAAAACAATAACTAAAATAAATAAAAAAATAAAAAAAACACACAGCCAAAACCATAAATGAAATGGATTATGATGCCTCTGGAAACAAACTTGCAGTCCTACAAATATCAGAATGTAAACTACCAAGCTCATTTTAATTCAGATTAAGTGATTGCTTCCAGGATCAACCCAAAGACACAAAGACAGGGTCAGCTCCAAACTTGAGGAGGCAAAAATGTTTCTGCTTTCAAACACACAAGACTGACAGTGAAAATAAGCAGAGGTTGTTGTTTCCTCACCACTTCCAGAGCGGCTGTGAGGGCGGAGGCGCCTGCTGCTGCCAGGGCTCTGAGGTGAAGGTTCTCCAGCTCAGGAGGCAGGACGTCCAGCAGCCTGCCGGACCACATGTCAGCGGCCTCCCTCCACGCTGCCTCCAGGTTCTGGCCCTTCACGTCCTGGTACACACCAGCCAGGGTCGCCAGCGGCCCTGGACAGGAAGTTCAAACACTGCACTGATGATGTCTTCCTGTCAGTGAGAGGAAGAACTCCGACAGCGGAGACACTCACTCCGCAGCTCCTGCTGCCCCTGCAGCGAGGCCTGCTGGAGCCGATCCAGCAGGTCAGGCAGGCTGCTGGTCAGCGAGCGGCGCAGGGAGCTGCTGAGCCATAGGGACAGCAGCCCTGTGGAGCCCCAGACCAGCAGGCCCTCGGCATGCTGGGAGACGAGGAGAGGGACGGAGGTCCAGGCCTGCAGCAGCTGCATGTCTGCAGGCTGGAGGACAAGAAGCACAGAGTTAATCACAACACCTGCAGGTCCAGCATGACGTTACTGGGGAAAAAATAAAGCTGCACTATGTAACTTTTAGAAAAAATAATGTGTTTCATACATATTTGTTAAAGAGGCAGTATGATAGCACAATTAAGTAACTATGCTACCTTCAGTAATTATAAAAAATATAGTAATTGTGCTGAAAGGAAATTTAACGTCATAGTTTGGGAACTTGAAATTGGGACTCTGTTTCTTTAAAAACTCAATTTTTTTTTACTTTATTTATTTTTATCTTTAACAAGGTTTTACCAGCGTTGCATTGAGAAGTAGCTCCTATAAAGATTTCAGTAGATATGCAGTTCTATTAGGTGTTTGCTAATTGTTGCTGGCTAGTCCGCAGGAGCCAAATGGAGCGTTGTGAGGGACATGTGCTCTGTGAGGCTCAGGGTAGCTTTAAAGCTCGAGCTCCAAGGAGGAGCCGTGTCTCAGAGGTGAAGCTTGGGTCACCCAGGAGTTTTGAACTCAATGAATGGTTGCCATGGATTTTCAAGTATTTCTCAAGCACAAATTTAAGAATCAGAGCAACACGCTATGTATGTTTTTGATGAGGGAATAGCATTATAACATGTGACGATCCAATCAGAGTCAGGAGGAGGGCATTAGCACTGTCGATCAGGCTTATGTACATGCTGCTCACATCCTCCACCTTGCTCTCTGCTACACCGCAACTGATTCACCACAGCAAAACCTGCCGTGAATGCTAGAGGGTAAGTTTTTCTGGGACACTAAGTTGTTTTTCCACCATTAGCGCAATTAGCATCGTGTACATGAGAATGAGGGACAGTGCTAAGGCGCTCCTCGGGGCTCCGATTGGTTGTTTTTGAGCCATGCATTTCAAAGGAAGAAGCTGGAGGAGCTTCATTCTTTCACACCATATTTTTCTGACATGACATGGGGAAATTTTTAGCAAAAAATAAAAACTTGAATTTTTAAAGTGCAGCTTTAAGGCAGCAGACCTGTTCAGTGGTTTCTGCTAGAAGACGCTTTAATGCCTCCCTCCTCTCCAGGAGTTCCTTCTGGATGTCAGAGATCAGGAAGTGAAATCGCTCCTATGAAACGATGGAGAGGAGAAAATAGAGTGAAGCAGCTCCATACTGGATCATATCTGAAAACGTTAGTTACCTCAACTTCAGTTAATCTCTCCAAGCAGCCACTGGCTGACATCACCAGCCTCTGATTGGACGTTTTCAGTGACCAGCTTCCCAGAGTCTCAGTCTCTCTGCAGCGTTCTCTTCTCTGCACCTCGGCATTAAAGCTGTGGTTCATTCCTGCACACACTGCTGCCCTGAAGTCCTCACAGAGGCCTGGACCTGCAAAACACACACACACACACACACACACACACACACACACACACACACACACACACACACACACACACACGCGCGCGCGCGCGCACACACACACACACACACACACACACACACGCACGTACACACACGCACGTACACACACACACGCACGCACGCACACACACACACACACACACACACACACACGTTCATATTTACTCTTTTTAGTTTCTGGACTTGGTTAGCGGTTATCCTCTGTTTACCGCTCATGTAGCCTGTGGCGGTCCGGAGGCAGCGGCCCCCCAGCGTTCCATTGACCCAGACCTGGTGTCTGCGGTCCAGTGTGGCATGAACCTGGAGACCGGCCCCATAGGGCCCCGACAAGCCGCTGCTGCCCAACAACAAGCTCCAGTTACCCACCACTGACTGGAAAGTTAAAAAAAAACAAAAACAAAACACCATTAATAGAAGACAACATAGAATAAAAATATTAATTAAGCTTTTAGTTTAACTAACATGAAGATTTTTACATCTTGTTTGATGATGTGAACAATGTAGGTGCGGAAAAAGATGCACAAAACAGACAATTTGTGGAAGTAAATTTTCACAACATGTACATAATTTGGATTATTAAATTTCAGTAAATACAAAACACTAGATTCTAGAAAATAATCTTATATAATAAGAAATAATCATTTCTTAAGGAAAAAAAAGAGTCAACAATCTGTTGGAAAAATGTTATTTTATAATCACATATTTACTCATTGCAATATCGTATTCATATTATCCTTCAGTTTCCTATTGTCTTATATTCAGCTTTCAGTTTATCATTTACACCTTAGTTTATTTAACCTTATGACAATTTAACTTAACATTTCTAGAGAAGTAACTGTATCTTTGTCTAATTAATCTGTGTAAGTGTTTTAAATGGTGATGGAGTTATTGAAATAAATGGACTTTTCAATAATATTCTAAATGATTATTAAATGGATTTTAATTCATGTTGAACACATTTCTCTCTGTAATTATTAGTGAACTGTTTGACTTCCTATGTTAACTTCACCATTGAATGAATCTGAAATATTAATTTCATTGCAGTTGTTTAAACATGAACGTGTAGTTTAGGTAAAATGTGTTTAATTGTTCAGACATGAGTCTTGACACTGGGTCTGAATTCAGTATAAGTTTCATTTTGTTTTCATTTTGTTTTCACTCCATCTGGGTGAATAACCTCTCTTCTTTTTATTTTTTTATCAGTCAGTGTTTCCTTAGATGCTCGGTTTTATTGGAGGAATTCCCGCGCTCTGGTTCCAAAGAGACGGCGGATCTCACAGATTTACAAGGTGACATTAAAATTCTCCAGAACCGCTGGGAGGAGTTCTGCTGAGAATGAACAGAACTCCTAATACTGGAATGCTTGGTACAGCCTGGACACTGGCTCCAGTAGTTCATTTCTCATAGTCATATTTTCACCATGACACATCACCATTTCAAACTAAATGTTTAGCGAGCAAGCTAACTATGCTAAAGATTTAATTAGCAAGGTATGTATTTTGTCTACATGCCAAATATTTATCTATACGTCCAAACTAAATAGTTATATAATAACAAATATTTAATTTGACTTTCTATATAGATAATATTCAATATAATATTTACTTAATATTTATATTAAATAAATATTTTAGCAAGTTAAATATTTAGTTTTACAATCTAAATGTTTAATTTGGAGCAAATATTTAGCATAAAAGTGAACTACTACCATTTTTATCTCTTACTGCTGCTGATTTTTGACAGTAACTTTAGAAACTTTAGAAACTTTAGAGCTCTGACGAGCATTTTGGTCGTCAGAGCAGAGGGAGCTGAATCCAACGGACATGATCCTTTTTAGATGTTTTTCGGAACCCATTTATCAAGTGAATAATCAGCAGTATCTTTACCTCAGTATAGAGAGAGATGTTGGTCCCCTGGGCAGTGGAGGTGTTGGTGAGGGTGAGTGTGAAGTGGGACCAGAGCGGCTGACCCGTCACCGAAACGTTACACTGACTGTAGATCAGCTCCTCTCCTGAGTTCACTCTGTGGGACCCGGACCACCACACAGTCTGACACACACACACACGCACGCACGCACGCACGCACGCACACACACACACACGCACGCACGCACACACACACACACACACACACACACACACACACACACACACAGGGAATGTGGACATCTTTAGATTCTGCCAAATCCTTTTAGCGAGAGGATCACTTCCTCTTCCTCTTCTAGTTTCCATGGTTACCAGTGTGAGGACTCACCGGCTGTTCGGGACAAACCCCCAGCTCCACTCTGTGCTCCAAGCGGTCCCTGAGGTTGGTCTGGACTTTGGCCAGGAGCATGTGTGAGTGACAGGGTGCGGGGGACACTCGGTCGAGATCCACATACAGCTGGAGGCCGTGCAATCCCTCAGCACTTTTCTGGAGGAAAACAAAGAAACAAAAGAGGAACTTCTTCCATTTAAAATCATCCTGAGCTGAAACGGTCTCTCTGCTAACGGAGAAGCAGAGTAGTACCTGGTACGTCAGGCCCTGCCTGAAACTCTTGTTGTGCCATGTCACCTCTGCAGTCTGTGAATACAGGTTTCCACGGTACCCCATCGATACGCAGCCCTTTCCAGAAGACACTGCCATCTGCAACAACAGACATGCACTTCATGCTCCTACACAACTGCATCCCCTCCTGCCCTGACCTTTGACCCCGCAGAAATCCACAGACCCGCTTGGCTGAAAGCAGAACGCACGCCCGGCCCAGACTGGAGCCGAGTTTGTTCAGGGTGAGAGAAATGTTGACTGGAACGGCACCGTTCCAGGACAAATGGCTCTGCAGAACACACACACACACACACACACACACACACACACACACACACACACACACACACACAATTACTACCTGGATGGCTGTCTTACACAATCAGACTTTTTCCATCTCTTTACTATTAGTGTATTAGGGCCATTGTAGTTAAGGAAAAACAGGAGTAAATTTCTGCCAAAAAAAGAGAAATTTTCTAGAAAAAAAAACAGAACCTTTCTGAGTTTGAAAATTGAAAGATTTCCTAGGAAAAAATCAGAAATTTTGAAATTAATCTCAAAATTGCCTTTGTTGCCTTCTAAGTTCCAAAGCCAAAAATGTCCAAGAAAAGCCGCCGGAGGCGACAGGTGGTTTGGTTCTTCAATGCACTTCCAACTTGTTTGTCTGAGTAAATACACATACTTTATTTCTCCCAAAAATATGGACAAAGCAATAAGTAAAGACCTCTTGATCTAAACAAAGGTTTTCATCTGAACCTCTGTTGAGATGAAAACAAATGTTATCTTAATCTGAATGTGTAAGTTAAAAAAGTGGTCAAACATAATCATTTTACGAAACCCTCCCCTGTCATCACACCAGACGTTTACCAAAACAAAAGACAATGTGTTCATAATCACTTAAATCGGTGGAAGGGTCTAAAAATGACCAAAATAATATAAACAATACCAAAAATAAAAAATAGCTACAGCTTGTGGTTCTAAACTAACACATATTCTAACTGCCCCCCAAAATTTTTTTTATTGCATTTACAATTTACAAAACTTCCACATAAAAATGGCCACAACAGAGTTTTTGTGTGAAAATTTACAACTTTTTTTTCTATCTACAATGGACGTTATACACAGTCATGCTAAAAAAAGCTAAATCATTTCTGTTGTAAAAATAAAATGGACACACAATCATTTTAATGAAGCCTATCAGCTTACCCCAAAATAATCTGTAAATCATTCTAGTTTTATTCTAGGCTACAAAAACATGCTACAACAGCGCCACCACAGGCGAGGAGGGGAAACAGGTTTTCCAAAGGGATTGATTGGTTTGATTCAGTGCAGTGTGAAAGAAAATCACCGCAGCTGGAAATATAACAAATGTTACAATTGTCTACCTATTTTAATTTGGAGCATTGTTAGATCAGAGAAAATTTAAGTTTAGTTCATTTTAAGCGTATTGTCATTAACAGTCTGATGAAATGAATGTGTGTTATTATATTTTGGACACAGAATGATTTCAAGGGATGGAAAATGGCCCTACTCTAAACACCCCTGGTTTAGAGTATCACTTCTGAGTGGATGGAATCTAATGGAGCAACAAAAAGCAGCGTGTTGTGAGACTGAGCGCAGTGTGAGGAGCTGGATGTGTACCTGCAGCCTGCTGCTGCTCTTCCTGGGTGAGCGGAGTGACAGAGTGTGCAGAGACAGCTGACTCAGCGCCGAGCAGAAGGGATGCTTCAGCTCCAGCTTCGTCTCGTTTGTCTCCTCAGAGTGACTCCACGACCTGAGGATGTGCGCCTGCGCAAAAAACAATAATAAAAAAAAGAAAACAATGACCTTTAAACACTTTATGACGTTCTGGAAGAGATGGAAAAGTAAACGAAGTTGAAACAATTCTCCACCTCAGCATCCAGACCGAAACTGGAAGAAAAATATATGCTTTCCATATAGACACATTGTTGCCTAAAGATATATGCTTTCGGTTTTTTATTACAGATGCATTTCATAAGAGAAGCTTTTGTCTTTAGGCGTTTTTCTTTCCACCCGGGTTGGGACACGTTGTTCAGTCTCACCTGCTCCAGATGTCCCTGCCTCTTCCAGCCCAGTGAAACGCTGTCCAGTCGGCTGTGGAAGGAGCTCTCATGCACCAACTCCAGACTGCTCAAACGGGGGAGGCCGCTGACCTGGACTGATGGGAAGAACAATAAAGAAACTAAAAATCTCATCCAGCTGCATCCCTCTAACGAAGCGTGCAGAGACTATCTGTAAGCAGGAACGATTAGGACACAGATTAGGAACAGGATACTAAACAGAACAGAGACAAAGATTGATTGAGAAAATTACAGAGTAGTCCTTTGGGAGCACACAGCAATTGTTCTTCTAGAAAACAATTTTACGCATTACTGCCAAGAAAGCACAAGAGCAAACATTTAGACAGCATCCAGCTTCAGCCAGAATGGAGATGAGAGAACTTTGGAGAAACCGACTCTCCACACCCGAACTGGAGAAAGGAGGGTGAGCCAAAAACAAGACAATCGTTTCCAGAAAGGCTCACAGAAGTCTGAGCTGCCAGCGGAGTGTGACCAGTCGACAATAAAAAGCATTTGAATAGCAGTATCACCGAAGAATAAAAAAACAACACTTTAAAGAAGAGTATCAGAATATTGTTGAAAGAAACCAAATTGAAGGAAAACTAACATATTATATAAATGGAAAATATCTGAAGCCTTAGTGTCTTTCTTGGGGATTATGGCTTACAGATAACAGAAAACCAAAATTCAGCATCTCAGAAAATACTAAAATAAAAAAAATTGCAAACTAATGTCTGAACAGTTAATTTACTCCTGCACCTCCAAATGGTCTCTCACTAGTTCACAAGATAGTCAGAAACACTTCACAAAAATACTGTCAATTCTTGAAGAAGCTGAATGTTTACAGAGTTGTATCTCCAAGAATATTTATAGAAAGCTGAGTGGAAGGAAAAAGTGTAATTTCCTGTCAGACTGAATTTTCGGGGGGTGGGGGGGGTTGCCATCTGTAAACCATAACTATCACAATGACAAGAAATAAAGGTTTGAAATAATTTGTGCTTTGTCTATTTAATGTGAGTTTCAGTTTCTGAAATGAGTGACAAAAAAATATTTTTAGTTTTATTAACATGCCTGTACTTTCTCCATACACTGTAAATACAAATCGAGGGGCAAACTCGTTCTCCAAAACATATACCATCAAAGATATTGACTTTGATGGTATTTGATGGTATTGAATACAAATTGTATTGAAAATCTATGCATTTTCAATACAACAATCATTTAGTACTTTTTGTTTGTTGATCATTAAAAATACTAATATTTTGTGACATTTGCAATTGCAGCTTCAGAAAAACAGTCTATGAACATGTTTACGGTGAACTGTATGTGAGGTTGTGTAAAGTGTGTGTGTGTTGGTGTTTACCCTTCAGAGTGCGATTGCCCGCCTCAAAGTCCAGACCTGGAGCAGCCAAGTGCAGAGCAGACAAGCTGAATTGATGGCTGCCCCATACAGTGGCCTGCTGGAAAAGGTGGCGCCACCTTCTGGCCTCATACATGGTACTAATGGTGACAAGCCTGGGGACAGGCTGCAGCTAACACACAAACACACTTACATGTTCTGTAGGAGAAGCTAATCAAAATAATTCAAATCATTTTTCTTGCTGATAGACAAACTTATAAACTTATAGGACAATGCAATCTGAAGATAGAAAGATTTCCACAGAGGGAACTGATAGTTTATCTTGGAGGTACCTGTGGGAAGGAGTGTGTGACCTCCACAGTCTGCCTGTAGCTGCCCTCCATGGCTGCCAGCTCCCCCAGAGCCCACAGCTTCCTCCTGCCTGACAACACCTCCACCAGGGCTGCCACGTTGGACTGGGACTGGTTCAACTGGGACGGGAAAGAGAATCTTAAGGGGCAGGCAACTCTACTTCAAATGTAAAGATGTGGAAGTCAGACCCAGTGCCTGGCTGAAACGGAGTGAACCCACCTGAGAACGGAGGTGGAGCTGGGGGGGCAGGTATGGCAGCAGCTGGGGGGCGCTGTGGACCACGTTCACCATCAGTTCCTTGCTAGACATCACAACAAAGGTCAGCTATGGGTATTCTTATTATTAGTAATTCACATTACATTCAGATCACCTGCCATTTTTTTCTAGGGTTTTTTTTTTCATAAATTTTAATGTTTTAATGCAAACTGTATGAAATTTGGCCCAGTTCCGTGTTTAATTTATATTATAAATGTTCTATATTATTGATTTGTCTTTTTCACAAGCCTTTCAAATTCAATAAAGCTACCAGTGTCACTTTCATAAAGTCAAACTAATAACAGAAGAGCTTGTTTATAGACTGCCCCCTAATGGCCACTGAGAACACAGAGACTGTCGTGTGCTTTGAGTCTGGTTGAATTCACACCAGTTTAGTTCCACTGTAATTAAACTCCAAGTCGTTTTCCCTTGAACACATCTGTCAAAGTCAAGGCCTGCAGCCCAGATCCGGCATACTCAATTATCTGTGGCCCCCAGGATGATATTTAATTACTGTTAGAACCGGCCCAGAGGCCACAGCACTGGGCCAAATCCTATTTATAGTTTTCCATACAATAGAATCACACAAAAACATGCACAAATTACTAAAGTTTTTTTTTTTTTGTACTTTTGTAATCATTAATCTCCTTCAGTTCAACCATATAAGTGGAGACACATTGTTGATGTAATCATTATCGCATAACTTATTAAGTATTGGCAAAGATCAATGTGATTTTTACAGGTGGTGGACCGTTGTTGTTGTTGTTAGCTGCTGAAAGTAACTAAAATAGTTACTTTTAAAGTAAAATAGTTACTTTCCAAATCAAGTAGTCAGTAATCTAACAAAGTTACTTTTTCAAGAAGTAATCAGAAATCTGATTAAAGTTACTTTTTCAAAGTAACTTGCCATCACTGCCTGTGTGTCTCCTGTGTGGAGAAAGTTTGGCTGGAATGAAAGAATATAATCTAAGACAAAGACAAGAATATGAACATCATAGAGCAGCACAATAATGCATTTTCAGTTGATAATGCATGCACTTCAATTTATGTATTTATCTTTATATTAAGAAACATATTTAGTTTTCCAAAACAATTTCATTTTTTGCTGTTTGCCTGTTGAAAAGGTTTTCCCTTGAGGTTACTGACAGAGTCACAACAAAATATTGCTTCATTCTTTTAATGTACAGGACATGCGATTTTTCTTTGAAGGAAGAAAAATCTTTTTTTTTTTGTCTCTTTGCCTGTTGAAAAATGGTTTCACTTGAAATTACTGACAGATCCATAAGAAAATATTGCTTTACTTGTTTAATCATTAAGTAATATACACTGTGTTAGGTCTTGGTTCAACAGGCTTTGTGCAAGATTTCAACATATTTTAATAAACGTAGAACCAGTCCGGCCCTCGGCTTGTGGCAAATTATTTTTTTTTTGGCCCTCGGTGTGTCTGACTTTGACATCCCTGCCCCAGAAGGTCTGGTTCTGGGACTAAAAAAATAAGATATTGGCACCTTTGCAAAAAATAAAAAAAGTAAAATGAAATTAACATCAATATTGCTGCCAATTCTTGACACTCCTATAGCACAAGGTTTTATTTTTTACATAATCAGCTAGTAGAGCAGAAAATGAAGGGGTTAAAACGTAAACACTTTTAATCCGAATAAGTTCAAAAAGTAGCAGTTAAAACATAAAGACATTGATTTGCCTGCCATTCATAGAAATGTTTTTCCTTTAATTTGGGAAGCACTGAGTAATTTAGTTAAACAAGTGTTGACTTTATTCTAAACAGATGACATCAACAGGTGGTTGTGATCAAAGTGAGAGGAAGGGAACAAAGATCCTCCTTTTGACTACAGCAGTTGGAAGATGTTTGGACATCACTCCGTCCAAGCAGGAAACCCATTTTGGGGCCGACTGGCGGCTCTAATCTGAAGGCAACATCTTGTTGCAGTTGTATAATTTAAAACAAATCCTCAGACAAAAAGGGACTAAAAATGGCAGAAGAAGAAAACTAATGAAAAACTCTCATTTTAAACTTTGTTGCAAAAACTAAAAATAGAAAGACATATGGGAAATGGTACATGATAGTTGGATAGTTTATTTCTAAAGGAAGCCTGAAGCAGGTTTGTTGTGTATCAACCAAAATATCAGCTGTGATCAGAATCAGACGATTTTACGTTTGTAGGTTGTGATCTGTGAATGCTTGGAAAAATCTGATTGGTAACTGCAGCATAAAGCAGTGCTGCCAGGTCATACTGACGACAATCCTCTTCGGTGTGGACGTTTTTAGTGAGTGAAGAAGACTCGGCTAGCTGTCTTCAGGATCGGTGAGCGGCCTTGTGATTTATTTAAGTCAGAAGAAGCACAATCGCACATCCCAGATGATATGCACCTAACTCACCCTACCAGCTAGAAGATGTTAAATACTTAAGAGCTAAAAACTGCAGAAGCTTATCCAAATTATACCCTACAATTTAAAGCAGTAAAATCTGAATTAAGCTAATGTGCCTGGTTTATTTCGGGTCTGGACGTGTCTTACTATGGGGCCAATTTTTAAGAAATAAAAAATAGCCAAAGGAACAAAGTATTTTGTTATTTATTTACAGTTTTTAAAGAGAAATCAGAGCTAGCGATTGGAAATCAGCTATAAAATCTTTGAGCACTATCAGTACCTGGGAGTGGAGGTGTGTCCTTGGACAATGAGTGCAAATGAAGAGCTGAGCTCAGGGTTGACGGCCATGGAGGCTCTCAGCAGGGACTCCATCAGTCTCCCCCAGCCCTCCACCTGAAACCAGTCAGAGGTCGTTAGTGGGGAGGAGCAGTGCTGTGGGAACTTCCTTCTACATGCTGACCTCGTTACACCTGGAAGGCAGGGCTAGCTTCTCCTCGCTCAGCGTGCCTCAGTGTGAACCGGGCCTCCTTGGTACCACCATGCGTCCCCCAGGCCCCGGCCTCTCCCTCCACCCGGAACCTCCAGTCCTGGCGGTGAACGTCTAATGACGCACTTCTTAAAGGACCTGAAGACGGTTGCAGAAGAGAAGGCTAGTTAGTGCAATGCATCTTGGGATTTTTCTGACCCTGAATTTATGAAAACTACAATACAGATTATTTATGGTGACCCAATCAATCAACATGCCAAACATTTCCTGGGTTGCAGGCAGAGGGTACGGGTCAAAGGGAGTGAGCAAATTTCCTGAGGTGACCTATGACCCTGTGAGAACTGGCTCCAGTTCTGGTTAACAATACTTTCAGTTGCCTTAATCCTTTGCCCTCAGAGAAAACATAAGTGTAACTAATTTCTAAACTGAGACATATTTGAAGAAGTGAAATGACACGATGTCTTGACCTTTGAACTGCACAGTTAGGACAGAGTCCAGCTTGTGTTGTGTTTGATTGAGAGCAGCAGGAGACAATGAGAGGAGCCCAGCCAGGCGACCGGCAGCTTCGCTGACATTCAGCCCGTACGTGAGCAGCTTGCGTCCATCCACACTGAGCTCAGCCCTGGACCGGAGCTCAGACAACGTTCCCTTCATGGAGCAAAGGCCCTGGGAGAGAAAACACAAGTACATCTCAATACATCTGCTGCTCATCACTATTAACAAGAACGGCTGGTACAAATGGGCTAGTAGCTAGTAGGGCTAAGCCCTCCCTGACATTTACAATAATGTTGTTAAAATAAACTTAAAAATAAATACATTTTATAAATAATGGGTTAGGGTTAGAATAGGGTATATAAATAACAATCATCTTTTGTTAAATTTTCAACAAACCAGGTGTCAAGCCGCCAGGGCTTCTGACAGCCCCATACAACTGTGTGTTATTGGTCAGAACGGCTGACAGGAGTCTAGTCACGCCGCCTCGGCTTGCAGCTCATTGGGGCTAATTTTGGTCACCCCAGGGCCACAGCATTCATCCAATCAGGATGGACTTTACTCGAGTTCGAGTGTGTGTGTGCGTGGTTCAGCGTAGACTGAAAAGAAGTGATAGCGAGCAATATTAGCCTAAACGAGGTGGATTGTTTAGCCTTTTTGCATCCCAGAAAAGTCGTTGGAGTGAGTTTTTCTTTAAATAAGTTAAGCGTAATTTAAAAACATATTGTATCTTGTTTTATTTCATCAGCATCTTTTCAGTGTTGGGGAATTAATTTGGACAACTGCAGAGGCTCTATGCAATTGGTCTTTGGTATGTTTCCATGGTTCTTTTTTTTATAGCAGATTTTCTCCTTATTTTTTAAATTGGATGGATCTCTTATTGGAATTAAAAAAAGAATATCTAGATAATATCTATAATCTAAATATATCTATCCTATCTATATCTATTATATATATTAGATAGATATATTGAGAGAGTTTTTGTCTATTAACATGTCTACAGCATACCGATATTCTCAGAGGCAGGCCTCGGCGGTGAAGCCATGATGAACCGTGCCACAAGGTTCCCCTCACTTCTTTGAGTTCAGGAATCATCTTCAGCTGCAGTCTGAGTCCTGACTGCTGAGCTCCACACTGAGACTCCAGGCTTAGGATCCGTCCTTCAGCAGAACCAAGTTCTACCTGGAACATACAACCCGAGCTCAGTGGCCCTGCTCCCAGAGGCAAGCCGTTGTTTTTATGGTGTGAAAGCCAAGCCAACCTGGACGCTGTTGCTTCCAGGGACTCCCAGCTTGTCCAGATAATTCACCGCATGTTTTAGCTCACTCTGCACCCTCACAGTCTCAGATGTCCTTTCCATTTTCAGCTCTTGAGAAAACTGGAAAAAAAAAAAAAATGTAGACTCACAGCAAAAAATAAATTACACCCATTTCAAGTTTGGGTTTTATGTATTGTGATGGTAGAAATAGTTTTGTCTTTAAAAGGTTCTAAAAATAACCATTTCATATCAAAACGGACAGAAATGGACGACAGATTCTTATTTTGTAATGATAAAGAGAAAACATGTTTACAGTTTTCCAATGAAAAAACAACACACCAATTTTTGCAGAAATAACTCTAAAAAGTTAAAGGCATTTTCAGGTCTCACATCATTGAGGAGAAATTTTAACCAACACTTCTTTACCCCATTAATCTCATTCCTTCAGTTTATTAGGATTTGCAGGTATTTGATTCATCAGAGCTTTCTGGAGGTCTCATCTCAGCATTTGAATTTGATTGACCAGACTACGTAGTTTTGTACTTTTTTGTTTTCTTTTTTTCTTTCGCTCTTTCCTTTGGTTTGCTGTTTTGTTGTATTTCCTTCTGATTCACGTAAAGCACTATGACCTGCCTTGATGCTACATAAATAAAATTACTTTGCCCCTGTAGAAAAATCCTGACAATATGTACAGTTTTAATGGATTATAAACATCATTAATTGGAAATCCTCAACACAACAATAAATCAAAATTCAATAAGAAATGAATGAGGATACATGCTGAGAATATTTCAGTTCTGGATCTGGACAGAGCTCTGGTTAAATGAGGGAACACGTTACCTCACAGTTTATCTGACTGCTGTTCTTACCTGCTGATTTTCTGCTCTGCCATTGGCCGTAAACGAGCGTGAACCATTTTTGTGACTCTCACAGTGTACTGCCAGAGACACATTCACAGACAGGCCCAGTTTCTTCAGCAGGGGGACGGAATGGTTCAGATGTAGAAATGCTTCCCTGTGAACCTGCAGAAGAAGAAACGCACAATAAGACGTCTTTGTGTCAAACGAGTTGATTTGAAACATCATTTCAGTTCTGTTTTCAAACCTCAGTTTGTCCTGCAGACAGCACGGTGTGCAACTCTTTGCCATCTACCACCATGAAGATGTGGGAGGAAACAGAAGCTGGTGAGAGCAGCAGAGAGCCTGAAGCCTGCATAATGTTTGGACTGAACCACTCCTTTAGAAGCAGGAAAACATCAGTTAATGAAGTGATCATGCTGAAGTGATGCGCTCTGTGTAACGAATCTATTGCATGTTACCCGTACCTGAATTATAGAGCAGTTATTGTGGTATAGCAGTGACACCTGCAGGCCAGGACGTGACATTACATCTCCTCCAGCTCTGAGGTGGCATTCCTTCGTCTGAACAAGAAGTTCTGCAGCATGTAATCCAGAGCTGCTGAATCTCAGTGTACTGCTGTTGGGCAAAGGGGTGAGGGGGGAACTGTCACAGTCCAACACGCCCTCAACTCTCAGCTCTGGCCCGGGTTCAGCATCCAGTCTGAGGAACGTTCTCCTGCCCTGCAGACCAGTCTCCATCACAGCTGTCCACACGCCGCCAGGGTGCTCCCACACTGAGCCGTTCACATGAACCTGTTGGGTCACACATCCAGCTGTCACTGTGACCCAAACTGGTGCTGAACTAAACATGTTAAACTCAGGATATCTGGATTCCTTACAGCAGGGGTGTCCAAACTGTTTGCTTCATGGGCCAAAATTGTCAACTCAAGAGATCTAACATGCCAAAAAAAATAACATCTTTTCAAAAACAAAAGACCGAAATTCTGCCTTCTGGCAGTCATCGCGCTGCCCTTCTCTTAACCCTTTAGCAAAGTTTTTACCAGCTTCTCATTGAGAAGAAACTCACACAATGAACTCAGCAGTTGCCCAGTTCCACCAGGTGTTTGCTAATTGCAGCTGACTAGTCTGAAGGAGCTGAGTGGTTGAGTCACAGAGGACAGCTCTGTGAGGCAGACGTTTGTTAGCTGGAGCTCTGAGGAGGAGCTTTCTCTCGAAGGCGGAGCTAGGTCCGACCAGGCCTTTTTGCACAGCTCAATGGTTACCATAGGAGATTAAAGGATTTCTCAAACATGCATAAAAGAATCAAAGCAACACTCCATGTATGTTTTTGATGAGAGAATAGCATTATAACATGATGTAAAGCTCAAACAAGTCAATTTCACATAATACTGTTCCTTTAAAAGGAACACTTTTTGTTTCAATTAACATTTTTGTGACAATTTGTGGGTCGTAAGTTTGTTATTATTAAAAAAACCACCTGCAGAGGGGGTGGGGGAAATAATAATTCAGGGGCCGAACTAAACCGTTCCAGGGGCTGCAAATGGCCCCTTGCCCATACTTTGGACACCCCTGCCTTATAGATTCCTCTCTTCTCCGGTCTTTGCATTTAGCTGTTCATATAAATATGACAGAGTAAAAACGAGACGTCCAGCTGGATGAAACGTGGAACAAAGTTGTACCTGTAACCCAGGGCAGTCTGTCTCCCAGGCCCAAAGCCGCTGTCCCGTTCCTCTGTCCTGAACGATTCTCCTGGCTCTAATCCTACATGTCCCAACATCAACAGTCACGGCTCCACCCTGGTCCGAACCCTCCAGAGCTGAAGCCTCCACGCTAATCATCTGCGGCAGACCTCGGCTCTTTAGCCCAGAGAACGACTGACTGACGCTCCCGAAGAGATACGGAGTGACACAGGACCAACTTAGCTCTAAAGACGCATCCTCATCGTCCACCCTTAGAGAGGACGACATGGTCAACTGGCAGGGAGCCACCGACAAGAGGCCCCGAAGGGCCAGAGACTGAGGGAGGTCCCACTCCTGCGCCATAAACAGTGGGAGAAGCATCATGCTGTGGGCTGTTAGAGGCAGTCTGTCTGCTGATAACTTTATACACTTGTTAAAAGCTGCTGAACAGTAGTTTAGCAATCAGAAGGAACAGTTTGATTGAGAGGAAATATGATGACGAGTGACCGTTATGAAAGCCCAAAACTTGCATAGTTAACAATAAAAGCAAAGATATATAAATGGCTCAATAAATATAGGGTTAGGGTTAAACACTTAAAATACTTCAAATTATTTTTAGAAATGACAACTTTACCTTGCGGTGTATAATTTAATTGACCTTCATTTTTTATGTTTTCACCAACAAATTAGATATTTAAAGTACATAATAAAAATTTTACTGTCAATACCTTCCAACCTTTGACACTCACATTTCTAAAACTCAGAAATTTGACTTTTGAAATTCAGAAATGTCAAAGAAAAAAAATCTAGAAATTTTGTGAGATTGAGTTTCAATCTAAGAAATTTCAATTTATGAAACTCTGACATGTCCTTGTTATTTTTTCTAAAATGTGTCAGAGATTAACTTTTGAAACTTACTTTTTTTTTTCTTCATCTCCAATGGCTCTAATACACTGTCATAAATACATGCCAACAGTTAAATGAAAACATTTCTTATCTTCCTTATTTTAAGAACAAATATTTCATCGTTAACTGTAATGTTTTTACAGCGATTTGTTTTGTACATGCCGTTACCTGAAGCAGAGGACAGTGGCTTCTCACATTCACAGTGAGCGACTGGGGGCCGTCTGCAGCCGCCAGCGGAGCGGTGGAGTCACCTACGCTGCCCCGGAGGAAGCACCGCCCCAGCTCCAGGGTAGCATTCACCTGAGGCAGACGTCCACCTGACACATTCAGAGGCAGCGCTGCGCTGGTGGGAAATCTGAGCGATTTCACCGCACTGATGAAGTGCAGAACAGATGCACGCAGACTGCGATGAGGATCGCAGGTTAGAGACAGACTGATGGAACCTTTCTGCTCCCCTCCAGCATGGAGATCTGCTCTGAGGTTTCTGTCACATCCTGAATGGGAGACGGAGATGTTGGCTGAGGCCTGTGGACCAATGAGAGTCTGCAGGAGGAAAAGAAAATGACACTCTAATAGCAGACTAATAGAAAATGTTTTTGCTGTGAGTTTCTTAAATTCATTTTCCTGTACAAATTTAAACTGCTGGAGTAAACTGTCCTCCATGTCTGCTTGAGAATTTTATACCCACTCCTCATCAGCATGAATGGCGTATAAATTTTAAGCTTTTTCATCATGTGTTCCTTCTTCCAAGGTTGAAGGATGATACAACAAAAACTTTGCAATAAGAATGAGGTGAATAAGTTGGAATTTACAGTGGATTTTCTTTAATCCACACAAGAGCAGATTTTTAAATAGAGCCTTAAATATACACAGTTAAATCTGAAACTATCCACACTCATGGCAGATTCAAGATTAAAGTTCATTTTACCAACAAATTTCTTTAGACTGGAAGTGATGTTAATGTCTCAGAGTATTTGTATTTATGTTTGTAATTATTTTACTTCACCTTATAGCAATATCTGACACCTTGAAATTGCCCTGACTTTTTAAGAAGCCCCAAATGTTTTTTACATTCCCCCTTTCAACACGTCATCACATGAACGTTTCTCCATGATGCCAATTCCACCTGTTCTTAGGAGCTCAGCAGCTCAGGAGCCTGAGAAGTGGATGCAAACATCTGACCTGCTGTAAGCTGTTACAACCACGACTGTGGGCTATTTTAAGGGCCACGTTGTTGAACAGAAAACAGGCAATGCAGCATCGTTTCCATTATCCATAACAAAACATAAAGGTCAGAAAGGCAGAAATCATCTTTCAGGGAAGATGGTTTATTTGCTTTCTCTCTGAAGGAAAACAAGTTCTCTGGTCCCTTGTTTCCTCGCTAACCTTCAGAAGGAAACATCTCTGATGGGCAAAAAGCGTCCACTTGCTCTCCTTTTCTTCTTCCTGGTGTCTGTTTGCCAAGAGAAGCAGTTGGCACGCATCACTCTCCATCTCAGCCTGGGCTTGACGCGGTGTGGTGGACGCGGTCATGGTGAGGAGCCATTGTGGCTTCAGCTTCTGCAGAAAGCTAGCTGAGAAAGACGTGAAGAGTTTCCAAGCGGCGGTGGGGTTAATCTGTGCAGATGCGTTGTTGATGAGCAATATTGCTCTTCCAGAGAAGGAAGAATGGTGGAACTGACCCGATCCTTGGAAATCCACTTTGTTTGGGATGAGAGTGTCACTGGGGTTCCATCCTACCTCAACTTTGTGCTCCTTTGCTAGCATAGACTGAAATGATTTGAGGAAACCTTGCTGGTCTTCGTAGCTCAGGAATCCCTTCAGACTATTGCTCCATGTTTCTCCATGTAAGACTAAAGACGTTTTGTTTTGTAAGGGACCCACAATATTCTCAAACTGCACCCAGACCACTTTCCTCACCTCTGTGCATCGGATAGCAGCCAACAGGTAGGAAGTAGCAGAGTTATAGGAAACACTCGCTTCTGCTCTCACGTCACACAGTCGTTTCATCTTCACACGGCCCGTCACTACAGCTTTTTGTGTATCACTATGAGTCCCATATTGAAGCAGTCCATGCCAGGCATACAGTTTGAGAGACTCCACCCTGAGTCCTGCTCTCAGATCTGCTCTCCAAGGCCCTGCCACCATCCCAGTCCCCAAAACCCACCTCTGGGGGCCAGGCCTAAGGAGGAGCCTAACGGTAGATTTGCTGGGCAGCCCTAAATATGTCAGGAAGTGCAGAGAAGAATGACTCAGGTTGGCTCTAAGTTCCTTCTGGCCACCAGAACGGTAGCAACCTTTGGCTTGGAGCCACAGACTAACATGGATAAGCGACAGGCCATAGCAGAGGCCGCAGTTTGGTCTGTTGGAGCGAACGGCTTGTACCTCCACTGGCCGGTTTGCCACGTTTCCAAAGCAGTGGGCCGAGAGTCGGTCTTCAGTGGAGACCCCTGTACAGTTCATCTGCGAAAACAAAACATCCTTTTGGTAAAATTTCAATTGCAATTGGTCTGTGGGCCAGGCTACATCTTGTAGCCACTCCTTTTTGAAGTTGACCATCTTCTTTCTGGCATGCCTCTTAATTTCATGGTGGAGTCTAAGTGCCATGTGAAGGAAGGCTCTGTCATTATAACAAAAAATTATATTTTCCAGGGTAAAAAATACCTTCTTCAAAGAAATCAATATATATCAAAATAATGTAAAATGTACCTGTAAAGAATTGGGGATGTGACCCTGGAGTAGCTTCATGTGTTGCCACAGCATCACGACCAAAGCAGACGTCTTATTTTTTGACCCCATGCTGAAAAACATCTCTGCTGTTCTCTCATCTTCCACGCTAAGAACCAGACTTATGTCAAATCCTCCTGTTTCTAACTGAGGAGAAAAAAACATAACGGACATGTTAGCATGGGTATAAATACTCTGAGAGAGATGATTTCTTAATGCATTCTCGTTCAAATAATCTCAAAGACAAAGTACACAGGCCTCCTGCACCTGGTGCTGTGCTGTGGCTTGGAATGAGCCTGGCAGGCCTCTTGCTTTCAGGGCTTTGACTTGATGTTGGAACTTGGAGAAGTAGCTCCACCTCTGGTCTGTTCTGTCTCTGAGGAACTCAGCTCTAACATGCTCTGCTCCAGCCTGCAGCACTACAAGGATAGACTGTCCAAATTCATCCTGGGTCCACTTCACCTTAGCACTGCTGTCATCAGGAATGCCTGCAACCACAACCTCAGTTAGTTAACAGATACATAAACACATGTGTTTATGTACTGAGTTATAATTAGAGATGCACTGAGCTAATCAGTTCCCCCAGGATTTTGCTGTTGTGTTTATTTGCAATCAAAATCACTGATTTTGTGTTGCTACTTTAGAAATATTTTATTCTTTAAAGAACTGAAATAACTCCAATTTTGTTCTATGCTACATTCATCAGGCAATAACTTGACATCAAGTAAGACTGAGGCAGCAGTACAGCATAAGTAGGAAATACTGCCACCTGCAGGTAGGAGTTAGAAGTCACTTAAACCGAACATGTTTGAACGTTTTTTGTGGAAAATCTTCAACAAACTCACAATTATGCAGTAGTTTTTATGTTGATTTTGCATAAATTTCTGTAATTAAAGAATTGCAAAAAACTGGAAAAAATGGCTAATGATCGGAATGGGAAGATTTAAAACTCCCTGAATGATAACTTGAACAATTATTGGAACCAATCACTGGAGCAGAAAGAAACTTTTCAAAAGAAAACTGCATTTTCTGCAACACGCAGAGACGCGTCTGCAGTTTATTCAGGCTCTGAGAGAGTGGAAGACAATCAGGAGACAACAGAAAGGCTAAATGTTTGGACTTTTGCAGCCAGGTTGCATATCTTTTGGGAGGCCCAGAGGCTCTGCATTTTCAAGGAATTTCAAAAGAAAAACCCTGATTTGCAGCAACAGCTGTCACTGAGACAGCATGGTCTCCTTATAGTAAACAATATCTTAAAAACTTCTCTTCTATTCTGGACATTCTTACATTACAGGTCTTAAAGAAAATCTATAGAGCTCACCTGTGGTGTTGAGTTGGTGGAAAGAGTGAGAAAGCTGAACAGAGAGCTGTCCGTTTCCCCGGTTCTCCAGGCGGTGGGTAACGTTAGCGCACAGGTTCTGGAGTCCAGACCGAACACAGAGCCGGGCCTGTGTCCGCTGGTAGTCACCTCCCATCGTTCCTTCTCCTTTGACCAGACCTTCTGCAGCATCCAGCTGATGTCTCAGCTCTATGCTGTGTACAGCTTCCATCACGTTAACCCCCAGGTGACCTGCAGCAACAGGCACAGAGCTAAAAATAACAGGATTTGTGGCGATTGTTCTCAAGTAAAAATGGCACAAATCAGGTAGTGTGCCAAGACCTTCTACTGTATACAGTTCTGTTCAAAATTGTTCGTGCCCTTTGAAGTTTTCGTCCCATTTTACACTGCAACCACAAACTTCTACATATTTTATTTCAAAATTTTTTACCGATACCCTTTAAAGGGTTGGTATTAGCAATTTTCCATTTTGTAGCCAAATCAAGTTACCTTGTTGCCTTTAGTTGTTATAAAAACTGCTGTATATATCAAACATGACTTAAAAGACAATTAAACTTCCCAATTTGACACCTTGAAATTGGGCCACTTTATCTTTAAGAAGCTCCTACTTTTTCCAACACTACACCACCACAACAGTGCCTCTCATTATGCCATTTCCAGCCTTTTTCAGGAGTGTTGGCCTGAAAAGTAGCTCCTATAATGTGCTCAGCAATTACACCAGCACCAAATGTTTGCTAATTGCTGTTGGCTAGTCTGGAGGAGTGAGAGGACAAGCTTTGAGGAAATAGGTGGCACTTCATGGGAGGAAGAGTTTAGGCACTCCACATGGTGGCCATGGGAAACTCAAGGATTTTTCAAACATGCATAAAAGAATCAAGGCAACACTGCACATATGTTTTTGATGAGGGAATAACATTAAAACATAATGTAAAACTCAATAGAATTGATTTTACATAATGCTGTCCCACTAATTAATTCAAATGAGCCAATTTCTTAAATTTTTTTCCTTCCTCTTTACACTAATTTGTGTTGCTGTGTTGGATAAAAATACCTCCTGGTTTTGTGTTTTATGGTGACAATATGTGGAAGTGCTAACAGGGGACAAATACTTTCCCAATGACCGTAAAGCTGCACCTTCTGTTAAAGTATCAGAGCCCTCTAACACTCCGTTCAGACCCAGGACTGAGGGCAGAGCCTTCAATACGGACATGGAATGGTGAACGTTCCCCCACAAAGCCAGTCGGAGAACCTGGGAGTTTATCCGTGACCCTTTGACCTGGACCCGCAGCGCCTCCCGTCCCTGTGTGACAGAGCCAAGCAGAGCCACGCTGGAGGAGGACAAACAGGTGAGGAAATAAAAACTATTACAGATCTATAAAACATTTTCTCAGACACACAGACATTGGCTAACTAACCTGTCTGCTGACACGTTGGCTGCCATGTTCAGTTGCAGGGCGCTGACTGACGGAAGGAGGTTCTGGGACAGATCCAGGTCCAGTCTCACTGCTCTGTCTGGATTCTGGAGCCGGTGGAACATCTGACCAGTCACAGTCACCCTGCTCATCCCATTTGCTCGCACACACAATGAACTGCTCCTTTTGCCAGTCTCTGAGGCGTCTACAGCAGCTTTCACCTGGACAATGCATTGACAGGAAAATGAGAAGATGTAGCGACAACAAAAACAAAAAATGTTTTGATGTTTTCACAGAGCACACCTCTAGCGCTTTGGGAATCTTCGACTTGAAGGGATGAGCGAGGGAGGAACGGAGGCTGACTCTTCCTGCTGTTCCGTTCAGCTGCACTGAAAGCTGCAAAACCAACATGGCCGCCTGGTGCTGGATGTTTAACAAGCTTTGATCTGAATGTGTGCTGTATCTTTAACACTCACTGTGCACTCCTGTCTCTCTAGTCTCAGCTTTCCTCTGGCCTGGTAGTCAAAGTCAGTGCTGTGTTGAGGGATCCAGTGTAAGTATCCCTCCATCAGAGCAGAGGAGGGCAGCTGCAGCTGGAACAGAAACACCTGAATGAAGGCCTGGTCCACTCATATTTGCAATAACATCGATATCAACATTAAAATGTTGGCCAATCATTTTTAACATGTCATTTTTGGTCCAATAACAACCAATGTTTATGTCCATCTTGTTGCCATTTGTGTTTCAGGGGTTTGGTTTTTGCTTGGTCATGTGACAGTAATGCAGTGTAGGATTGTGAAGTAGAGAAGCACCGTCAGTGGTGTGGTCGTGTTTTTGATTTCAATTTTTTATATAGAGCCTATTCACAGCAAACGTCGTCTCAAGAAATTACTCTGATTCAATCAACATCAATGTTGATTGAATCAATGTAACATCGTAGAACAGAAAGGGGGTGGAGGCTGAGGGTGGAGGGACTGACCTGTAGCTCATGGGTGAAGTTTGCTTTAATTGTTATTGTCTGTTGAATTGAATTGGAGGGGCTCTGTTGAATCTGCCCAAAGAGGCTGAGTTTGTCCTCCCCGCTAACCTGCAGCGTCCCTCGTAGATCTCTGTGTGTCTGTGGAAAAGCATCAGAACGAGAGATTATTCACCAGAATAATCTGTTTTACATCATCCATTTAACTCATATTCCATCCATCCATCCATCCATCCATCCATCCATCCATCCATCCATCCATCCATCCATCCATCCATCCATCCATCCATCCATCCATCCATCCATCCATCCATCCATCCATCCATCCATCCATCCATCCATCCATCCATCCATCCATCCATCCATCCATCCATCCATCCATCCATCCATCCATCCATCCATCCATCCATCCATGTTGAAAAATAGTTTTGAAGTTATTAGCACTGGAATCAATTTGACTTCCTGTCACTTCTGGTTTTAGTCCCTTCAGGTAAAAAAACCCTTTAATGTTCTGAAGAGGCGGGGCTTACCTTGTTGCTGGTTCCAGTAACACAGACCTCAGAGTCTGATGGAAAAGTGTCAGAGCTGAACGTGTGGATGAGTGCAGAACAAACCTGCAGGTCATAATTAAGCAAAAAGGTCAATGAATGTCACTTTCTGTTAAGTCAATGAAATATCAAGCAAATCACTTACAAATGGGCTTGGCGGTTTGTAGCTGAGAGTCAATGTGTGGACGACCTCTTGGTTGTCGTGGAAACCGGCTTTAGACTCCAAAACATAAAGGCCTTTAACGAGGTCCACAGTGAAGGTTTCTCGCAGAAGAAGAGTCTGAGGAAAGTTCTGGAAGGGCTGCCTGTGTGAGATGGCAGTTGTTACTTCCTGCTTTCTAGTAACCTGCAGCTAATTTAGTGGTAATGATGCTGATGTTCGTATATGATTCACAGCTTTAGGTTCCAATTCTGGCCAATCTCCTAAAGTTAAGGAAATTGGGGCCAATAGATCAGTACTTTCATAGTTGGTACCTGAATGTACACAATAATCTATCCGGATGACAAAGTACAGAAATCATACTTTGGGGTTTGTGAAACCTTTTTGGGGAAAGTAGGAGTGATTTTTAAGGTATTTTCTTTTCTTTTCAATGGGGTTCATCTTAAAAAGTACAAGAGCCACACACAGAATGCAACACTGTTCATGCTGCATGACAAACAGAATTATTTTACTCTAATGGCAAATTCTAAAAAACATGTTTGGATTTGTGAAACTTTTATCAACTTCATGCATCACATGAGGTTTAGCTGTGAAACCTGTGCAGAATTATTCTATACAAATGACTCTAGAAAATAAACACTGGTTCACAATGTTTGGGAAATGACAGTAACTGTGTTTTCCATTGCAAAACTTTTTTAATATTTCGCCTATGTCGAAATAACACAATTTCGTAACTTCTGTGTTTCCGTTAAATTAAAAGCACAATTTAAATTACACATGAATGAGTTTGTTCACATGGTAAATCATTAAAAATCATTTTTCAAAATCCTCCAACCCTTCCTGCTGTCTTCTTCTTCTTTGAGATTTGCGCCAGTGGCAACATCCAGTCGTTGATCATGTGATTCTTGTGTTGTAAACAAAAGTGTTTCCACTTATGTGGACATAAATCAATTTTGATCTGGTCCAAAAGCCCTAAGTCATCCTAGCAGAAAAACTTTATCCAAGAAATATGTGTTTTGAAATTGTTGTGTTTTCATTAAACAAATTAATTCTTGAAATGTCAAATTGTTTAACTGTATGATCAATGGAAATATAACTAGTGTTTTGTACAATCTGTCATTTATGTAGAAAAATTCTGTTTAAGTGTCATTTTCAACATGGACTTGCTCTAAAGTGGTAAAACAAACTCAGAAATTCCACTTCTTTCAGATTTTACAAGTTAATTGAAGTAATTATCTTTGAGATCAAATATTCAGGTGTTGAATCATAAGCTGTCAATCAGATGCTGACTTCAATTTCAACGATCAAAGGAGGATTTTATCCTGCGGACTGAAACACACACCTAAATTGGAGCTGGGCTGCTTTCTGATACATCTTCCTGTCCCTCCTCAGCTCCTCCACCCATCCCTCTAACTCCATTTCCATGGTCGGACTGTTCGGCTCGGTGAAGGCCATCTTTAATATTGCCTGCCTCTTCTTCAAATTCTTCAACACGTCCACAAACAGAGACGGCTTGTTAGGACGTTACACAAGCAGCAAAAAGATTGACACATTTATACTGTAAATAAATGAGGCTTCCAACCCTCGTAGCCCACTGCCTCCACCCACCTTATCAGCACCGCTCACAGCAGCAGTGAAGCTGACATTTTGCCTGCCACATGTGGCGCTCATCAGCAAGGCGTGGCTGGATTTAGAGCTCTCCAGAGAGACATTCGCCTTCAGAGGAGGAGTCCAGAGTGAAGCTAAGGAGCCGTGGGCCTTCACCGCCTGCCTCCCCACCATACCCCAAACCCTCGCCTGCAGAGAGACACAGATTATGAGACATCAAAGCAGGGCCGGATGGTATGGCTTCAAAATAAACCTCCCTCTTTTTTAATCCAAAATTTGATTCTCGACTTTAATCAATTTATTTTGCCTCCTAACTTTTTTTCAATAGAAAGGGCAGTATTATGCTTTTTCCAGGCTATTTTCCACCACTTTGTAGCACAATCAAGTAACTGTTACCTCCAGTTGCTAAGAAAATGCTATACATGTCAAATATGACAAAAGACATTTTATTTTTTCATTTGACTTCTTGAAATTGGGCCTCTGTCTTGTTAAAAACTGCTCATGAAACTCCACCATCAGGAAGTCATCACAATGTGACTTCTCTTTTAACCCTTTAATAACATTTTTACCAGCATTGTAACACTGAGAAGTAGCTCCTATAATGAGCTCAGCAGATGCGCAGCTCCACCAGGTGTTTGCTAATAGCTGCTGACTAGTCTGAAGGAGCAGAGTGGGGGAGATGTGGCGGAGGGCTGCTCTGAGAGGCAGAAGGTGGAAAGTTTCTAAACTGCTGCTCCGAAGAGGATGTTTTTCTAGAAGGCGGGGATAGGTCCACCCTGCCGTTTTGAACAGCTGAGTAGTTGCCAGTGGAACAAGAATAATAATATGGAAAAAATGTCTTGTCCCACTGGCACATTATTTCACTCAGAATTAGTACTTTTCCATCAATATTAAGGAATGACTGACTTAAAACATATTTTATGTTGAAAACTTACTTGGAAGATAGTTTTCTCTTAATTGATGTGCACTAAAGTATTTGCACTGAAAATGTGACCCAAAATACTTGGTCAGATTTTACTAGTGCCAGGAGCCTGAATACAAACGTATGCTTAACTTTTCATAGACTTATAAAACATTTTGCCATCTTGTAGAATGGATGCTTATCCATTAAAGGCACCACAAGGCACTATGCTGTTACTGTTCAGCTGATGAATGTTTTACCTGGACGTAGGTAGCAGCTGATGTGTGGACCTCAAGGCGCGCTGCCTTCTCTCTACCCCGATCCCTGTAGAACCCGTCCAGGACCAGGTTACGAATGGTCAGCCACTTGCTGGCCGTCAGCTCTGAGGTGAGCTGCAGGGCGTGGCGGTTTGGCCGGCTCACCCTGTAGGCAGCGTAGATGTACTGTCCAGGTGTGTCCATGTTGAACGCGCCTGGATGGAAACACAGAGGTGATGGTCAGCGGGTCGGACGCAGGTGCTTAGTTGTTCCCCGCATCTAAATACACACGACGGCGTCACACCTTCCCATTTTTTACGAAGGGTGTTTTCAAGGGGGCTCTTCCAGTGTAACCCCGCCACCAGAGGCACGAGGTTGTTGTAGTTGATTTTTAGATGAGTGCTGCTCTCAGAGCCGTGCTGCAGCAGGCGAGAGTGCATCAGCTGAGTCCTGTAGTTCAAGTTCTTCTCAGGCACCTGGAGGTTAAACTGGGAAGGAAAGAACATGTCACCTTTTGGAACACAATTTATACAAAGACAAAAATAAGAAAACGGTGAAAAAACAAAGGAGTTTTTACCTCCAGCATGTAACTGGTGTGGTTTTGTGTGGACTGGTTTCTGAAGGACTGACTGAGGAGCAGCGTGTGTTTGTTATTAATCTCATCCCAGTGTTTGCCGTAGCTCAGGTCCAGGACGGATTTGATGTGGCTGGGGCTTTCTTCATGCTTCATGTGGATCTGTTCACAGACATCTGGATCATTTCTCATTGTAACACATTTCTATCAGAATGGCTCAAGAATTATAAGGTTTAGCTGGCTTGGTTGTCTTTTGGAAGGTCTTTAGTATTACACCTTTAGCTTTTAAAGAGGGCACCAAATTAACATGACACAGTTCTTTAACATCACATCCAGATGAAATCTCCAAACAGGAAACAGGAAGTCATGGAACACTCAATTTTGAAGGGCCAATATTATGTGTTTTCCAGGCACATAGCACCACTTTATAGCATAATTACGTAACTGTGTTAACTTTAGTTGTCTAAAAGTAATTGATGAATATGAAATACGACTTAGCTTCGAAGTCATCACAATTAACATCCATTAACCCTTTAACAATGTTTCTACCAGTGTTGAATTGAGAAGAAGCTCATTTAATGACCTTAGCTGATTCACAGTTCCACCAGGTGTTTGCTAATTGCTGCTGGCTAGTCTGAAGGAGCTGATCGGGGCATTATGGGGAGAATCTTGGAAACTGTGACTCGAAGGCGGAGCTAGGTCCACCCAGGCGTTTCACTCAGCTGATTGGTTAGTTATCACAAGAGATTAAAGGATTTTGTAAACATGCATGAAAGAATCAAAGCAACACTTCACATATGTTTTTGATAAAGGACTTTATAAGATGATATAAAGCTCAAAAAGTAGTTTTTACCCCATACTGCCCCTTCAAGAGATAAAGTACATATATATTAAAAAAGGATTTAGTTACATTAGGTGCATTACATTAGTTCGAGGTGCTAATAATTGTGCCATCAGTGTTTTTAAACAATGAGTTGGTATTTTCTCATTTTCATTGTTACATGATGCTGTTGCCATAAAAGTTCAATCTTTCACAAAGTGCCGGTGTTTGTTCAGTGTCACCTTGTGGTTGATAGGTTCCATGTTAGTGCAGTAGAATTCATGATCAGCTCTCATGATGTACGTGAGGTTGGAGTCCCTCCCTCTCCGCAGTCTCTGGGATGTGTAGCACTCCTGATGCAGGTTCCTGGAGTCCCCTGTGAGGACATGGAAACCATAAATTATAGAAAACTAACCATAGTGACAATCATTACATATTGTGCCATAATTGTGGAGTAGGCATCTGCAAAGGTCTGAAACATAAATTGATTATTTTTGTTAGTTTTTTTTTTTTTTTAAATCCTCGACCTGTTATACAGTTTCGCTAATCCACGAATGTGCCACAAGCGGAGCTAATTTTTCATTTTGTGCTTTTGTGTTTTTGGTAACTACTAGAACATTTAGCGCACTAAGCTTCCCCTGAATTCATTTTTTCAGACATATTCTGAAACACTAATTTACTTGGCTTTTTTCCAGAGCTTCAGTTGACATTTGTGCCAAAATTTTGTTTTTATCGACTCTTAGGAATTCTTCAGTTAGCTAAACGTTTCTGCTCATGCTCTTATTTTGAAGTGTGCGAAAGCTGTTTAGCAGTCCTGTTCTCTCTCTTCACATTCTCCACCTGTGATGCAGTACATCAAATGACATTTATTCTGTACCCATAATGCATCGCTGTAGAACACAGTCACTACTTGTATCACTGTTCACTAGTGACTGTGTACTTTTAGGAATTCCTGTTCCTGTTATTGGAACTCCTGTTGCAAAAAGTACATGATTAAACTGCCTCATGTATTTTTTGATCAAATAGCAATTAGCCATAACACTCAATGAATATGAAAGTAAAATTGGGTGAAAGGTCCAAAAAAAAAAGTCACAAATATATGTTCTCAATAACATGTATCAGGCTGAATTCAGAATGTTGCATTAGTTTGGCTAAATGTTGTTTTAACCAACTGTTGTAACATTAGCAGAGCTAAAGTTTATAATTAGCGCTTAGAACTAACTAACTAACTGACTCTTTAGCTGGCAGTGCCCACCACTGCATATTCATTCTTTGTAGGTTTTACATTTTAAATAGTTTCTAATGCAAAACAAAATACATTTTCATATTCTACATGCGAACTGAAACCCTCACTTCAAGATGGCAGCTTGCTGCTAACACTGTATTGGTCGTAATTTGTTCTCACCTCTCAGCCCATATTTGACCCTAAGGACAGAGCTCCACAGCGCCCCCTTCTGTTCCATCAATCCTAGCATCCTGCTGCCCACCAGTCCAGGTAAGAAAAGCTCAGCCTCCACAGAGTACTGGCTGCTGCTGCTGCTAAGGTCCTGCCGCCGCTCCAGAGCCACTAAACAACAGACAACTGCTAGTTTTGTGACATCTGAAAAAGTAGATGGACGTTTTAGGGCGTGAAAGCAGCAGAGCATCACCTGAGAGCGAAGCCGTCTCTCTGAACACGTTCCTCAGAGTAGCGGAGAGGCTGCTCTTCCTGCCCAATCCGCGGGTGACATTAACAGACAGAATCGCAGGCCGTTGATCGGCCATCTTAACTTCCAGGTGGTAGCGCTTTCTCTGCTCAGACTGAAGGCTGGTGCTGTCCACCAAGCCCTGCAGAGACAAGAAAAAAAGTTTTGTTTAATCGAATCTCAGCAAATATGCCTTCAAACTTTTTATATAATACTTACCAGGATATAACAATGGACACTGTCAATTACAAGCTCAAGCTTCCCAGATTTTATATTCCTCTCTTGATCAAACTGTCCTAAAGAAACATAGAAAAACAAGTCTTTATAGGCTCAATATCTGAGAAACCCCAAGTCCGTTTCATGCTTCCTCTGTCCTGACCCTGTAGGATGATGGTTTTCAGTGGGTGTTTGATTCTGAACAGCACTCTGTGGGAGCTGAAGGCCAGGTCCAGAGACATGTCCCTGGGAATGGAGGACTGGGGCGTGGCAAGGAGGAGGTGGATGGAGGCCTCTCTGGGTAGCCAGGTCCCCCTCTGGGTTAAAACAGGACAGACAATGAATAGAGTACCGGTAGCTCTTTTATGGCATAGCTAAGGTTGTCCATTACAGCACATGAAGTTGATACATCAACATTACAACTCTGTTCCACAGTTTGACACGTTGTAATCATAAAGTAAACATTAATGTGACTTGCTACATGCCTTGGACTGCCTGTGATCTGTTGGGATAGCCTGACGTCTTATGAAGACATAACACATTTATTTATTTATTTACCTTTACTAGAACTTGACTAAAACCTCTTTGAGTTTCACATTTACAAACATCTAAATCAGAATTAGAGAGGCATTTTCATCCAAAAGACTAAGACTAAAATAAAATGGCTGCCAAAACAACAATGCCCCGGCTCCTTCTTTTAACGCTCCACTAGTCTGGCCATTTGGTTTTAGTAGTGCAACCACATCTTGATATGTTTACAGCAGTGTTACATCCAATCTAAAGGATGGACTGAACAATATAAAGCAAACATACTTCACCTGAAACCACACAGTCATGGGTTTTAAAGTTGTTTTCTTAGTTACTTATAAAGAACCAGAACCGTTTTCCTACACTTCACATACATGTGCTGCTTTGTGTTGGTTTATTACATAAATATCCAAAGAAAACACATTAAAGAACATTATCGAAATATTAATTTGGCATCTTTAGGCAATATCACACGAGGATATATACATTTATATTGAAAGAAACAATTTCATTTAAATTGCATAAATGTTCACCAGTATATTTAATAGTTATATTGTTTTAAACTTTTCCTTTTGAAAAAAGCATTTAAGCAGATACTAAAAATACGTTTGATTTAGCATAAATTTCTGTTTTCAGTAATGTTTTTTTTTGTCTAATGTACTATTTCAATTTCAAATGTCATGTTTTTTATGAGCAACGTGTGGAAAATAATAATTATTGACAGAAACAAAGAAACTGACAGAAATAAAGTTCCTGAAATACATCAGCTTTCAGTAATATCCTAACTTATTGAATGGGTCAGTATTAATAGTGCATGCAGACCTTGTAATGTAATGAGTAAGCAGCTTCCAGCAGATAATAGTGGAGGCCTCTGTCCAGCTTCAGCAGCCGGAGCGACAGATGGGCCGGTCCAGTGGGGGGCAGAGCGACACCAGAGGGAAGTGAAGGGTATGACACATTGGAGCACAGCTGCCAGCCAATCATTTTAGACCCTGCAGGACACCATACTTCACTTACAAAACACTACCTTAGAAAAGAATGGCAAAATATCAAAAAATACATAAAAACATTTTACTTTTATGTGAGTGTGGACAGTGTCAAGTAAAGATATTGTTAAGGTTTAGTTTGTCAACCAACCACCTGTGGAACAGTGAAAGAAACAGAAATTTTCTGATTCAAACCGTTTATGAAGTCTTTTTTGATTCAGCTGCTTTAGTTTTTTTATTCATTTCCTTTTTTTAAAATGAATTGAATAATTCTCCTTGCATGGTATAACTTATGTAATGAAATGAGAATAGAGTGATATGATCGGTTCATCAATAGATCGATAGACTTATAGATATTGATACGGATCTAGCGGAAAAAATTCTGTTCAGTTTGTATTTTCTCTGTTCAGTTTGTATTTTCAGTTTGTATTTTCAAACTTTGATTTGAAAATACAAGTTTTCTTGCATTTAAAATACAAGTTTTGGACTACTCTGCTATAATTTTCCCCCCCCATTAATAAAAAAATGCATGTATCGAGTCAGAACTCAGTGTCTGTTTAGTAGAGTAGAGAAGGTAACACTGATGGTTCGTTTAGGATCATTTTAGCAAAATGGCAGAGAAAGCAGAGAAGGTAAAGCCATGACTACAAACTCACAGCTTTTTGGGGTGCAGGTTGTCTTCTGGATCCGACTCTTTGGTCCCTTCATCTCCTCTTTGTGGTCTCCGCTGAGCTGGAACACTCTGGAGCTGGACAGCACAGAGGTTGCATGTCGATTTTCAGAAACAAATCAGCCGATGTGGCTGTGATGCTAACTTTGTCACCTGTAAATTTTAAGTTATTCACCAATATATTTGTGTAAGCAATGAAAATAAAACTGTTCTACTCTAGTTTTAAATGATAGTGCTCCCATTTTAGATTTCTCTGAGGTCCAGTAGCCCTACCCTTTAACTGTCCAGTATACGGCGCGTACAAATAGCTCAGTGGCCCATTATTGGAACTAGTAGCCTCTTTTGCATTGCAGTTAGACAATAACCACACAACCACAAACCCACTTTCCAACTGATCAAAGGGAATATCCGAAATTTGTAGAGCATAAAACAAAAATGTTCTAAAAGGAGCAAGAGCGTACATGAGACATGTTGGGTCATCAAGCAATATCTTATGAAGAGTGTATGCTGCAAGTCACACTGGTAGTACTGCCCACATCTCTGTGGCTAGCTTGGACATCTATAGTCCAAGCTAGCATTCCAGATCTATCTTTCAAATCTTTTCTTCATGATGCTTGTGATTCTGCTATCCCAACAGATTACGCAAATAGAAGAAGGCTGATGCCACAGTAGAGGCACAGATTATCTAATTACAAAGAGACGGTCAGCGTGTTTCATACAACAGCTTCTTTTTATTTCTGTTATTTCATTAAGTGTGTTTTTACACAAACAAGCTTGTCGAGAGTTGTGACATCTTGACACATCTCCACTGGTTAGGAGTTTCTTCATTGTCGTTCGATAAACTTTGGGACTAACTGTATTCAAACCATTGGAGACCCAAATTACGATTTTCTAAGGATCTGCTACTGACAGCTTGGTGTCAGATATCACAGCAGGACTTCAAATGTCTTGTGAGCTCAGTGCTTAAATGTCTTTGGGATGTTTTTCTGCTCAAAGGAGGACCAACTCAAACTTAAACGAATAATAATGTGGCACAGTGTTCATTTAGTAAAGGAAGCATTTGGTCATAGTTTTAATCAATTTACTTATTTTTCCAGAACGCAAACAAGATCAACACTAAATAACACCTCACAACAAAAACTGAATTTCTGCCACGTGCTTTGAAGAAACCAGACAGCAGTGGAGAGAAAACATCCAATCAGATGTCGGTTTCTTTTGGCTGAAGATTTATTTATTTTTAACCTTAATGTCAAAAGCAAACCCAAGTAAACTTGGCTCAAATAAGAAAAGCTAGCCTAAACCGCCATTAAATACCAACGCTTACCTGAGAGAGATAATGTCCATGAAGTCCTGTGGTGTGTTCAGGGTGACTCGGACTTCCCGGCCCTCTTGCAGTTGGAAGCTCCCATCCAGGCTGGGGGAGCTCCTGAGCTCGGCGAGCCATTCAACCGCGGCCTGACCCGGAGCACCGTCCACCCCCATCCTGGCTGACAAGCCCACATAAGCACTGGGAACAAAGACACCAGTTACACTCTGCTGATAGACTAACCATGTGGCCACTGTTAAGACTGTAAACTCAGCAGTACTTGGGCCGGACGTATCCGTTCAAGGAGAAGTGCGAAGTGTCCCTGTAGTTAACGCTGCCTTTCAGGTGCAGTGAAAGCAGAGAGGTCATATTGACGCCCAGGTTGATGGGGACGCCAGACAGGGAGGGCAGTCGCAGCTCCTCAGCCATCAGCACACCCCTGTGGCTCAGATGAACCTCATGACCCTGCAGGACAAAGTAGAAGGAAGGAAAAACGGTGGGGGTGATGGGCTGCAAACAGACCTAGGAGTATCAGTATTGGTCGTTGTCGTCGACTGAAATAGTTTTACTGACAATTCAATCAGTAAACTGTAGTCGCTGGTCGACTGAGTTTGCAGAAAATTTAGTTGAGTAAAGCCAGAAGTAAAAAAGGAACAAATTTTCAGGATCCTTTTGCATCTTTGTTTACTTCAAACCTGTCCTCTATGGCAAGTGTCTGCAAAAGTTATCATCTAAAGAGCTGTTCTTTGTCCAAGTCCAGTTAAATAAAACTCGATTGGAGCCATAAATATTACATGACATGAAAAAAGACAATGTCTACTATTTTTTTAAATATAAAGTATAGGAATTGTGTCATTTTCAAATGAACCACCAAAATATTTCTATTTATACGTTTGAAATTTAGGAAGAATGTAAAACCTTTGCTAAAAGACAAAGGCTGAGTTTTTCTTTGACAGGATGCAAATATGAGTAGAAAAGATGCAGAAAAACACATTTCCTAAAATAATGACAAGATAAATATATGCTAACAAATATTACTGGTACTGTCCATGACATTTTGTTGTGCAAAAGATGCTAAAAGCACATTTTGTTATACCTATTTAAAAAAATATTTAAAATAAGTTAATAAACATTCGTTTGTTGTTTAGCCAAAGACTTTAGGAGCCTTTACAGAAGGTCCAGTTACTCTGTAGAGGCATGTAGAAATAATATGAATTTATATCTTTGCAATAAACAGACAAATATTGAGTTTTGTTTTTTGAAAATATAACAATAAAATTTGAACAGTCAAAATTGTAAATAGGATATGCAATTTATGCAAAGATAATGTCTCACTAGTTACTATACGTTAAATCTTAATGAATTGCATCTTCTTCCAACTGTTTTCATCTCATTGCTATTAGCATTGACACAATGATCAGACTTTATAGAAGAGCTTAGGTTTGTATTTGTGTTATATTTTTGTTTTTATCTACTTTTATTCTCAATTTCATCTGGTAAAAAAATTATTATTTTTGATGAAGGATATAACAAAAAACTGTTCATTTTCATCCCTATCAGCTGGATGTTACCTTAAGCAGTTTCACAGCCAGCCCAGCCAAGCTGAGGGAACCCTGGTGGATTTGGTCACGGACGTCGTCACATGTGAACACACTGAGCTCGTTCCCGAAGATCTTCACAGAAACCCGACACCTCGGCATTTCCCCGTCTGCTTTCCTTCTTCCAAACAACTGCAAGCACATAAAAAAAAACATAAACACATCAAAAATATGCAGAAATGTTATAAATCACTTTGTTAGAAATGTTCAATAGTGTTGTTGCAACGTCTCATGCAACCTGTCATCCACACAAATCTTGTTAATGTTTTACAAAGAGTGGAGGGAATGTGTGATAGAACTCTGAAGGCAGATTGAGGATGGTGCTGTTTTTCTTTGTTTTGTGTCAGTCACATTGGAGGTTCTCAAGAATGGCCTATTTAAAGGTGCTTTGCACAGCTGGTTGCCACGGGATATTGAAGGATTTCTCGAAGAATCAACGATATGAAAGAATCAAAGCAGGATTTCAGATATGTTTTGTTTACGGAGTAACATTATAACATGATGTAAAGATAAAAAAGAAGAAGTAAATTTTACATAATACTGACCCTTTAAGGTTAAGCCCAATCAGATCCAAACTTTTTAGCAGGCCTCTAAAAAGCATTATTTGCTTTCTTACTTTAAGTTCCTGAGGTTTTTGTCAGACATTTTCTTCATGACTTTTTATTTTTATTTTATTATTAGTCACCAGTGATTCCCAGTCTTTTTTTATTTATTATCAATGTTGAGTTATGAATATTGACCTTAACCGTGACGAGGGATGATTGTAATGCTTTAGATGTTCCAGGTTCTTTTGTTTTCTCTGGATGAATCCATGATGCCTACTTTTGGCAGGTCTTCCTCTCCATGGGAGGTTCTTCACTGTTCCATGTTTTCTCCATTCATAAATAATAGATCACACTTCACTTGCTGGAGTCCCAAAGTCTTATCAATGCCTTTTGACCTTTCCCAGACTGACAGTTGTTGATGACTTTGTTCCTTTTATGTTTTAGAATTTCTTTACACTGGGCCCTGATCTCTTAGCCTACTTTATGTTGCCAGATGGGTTCTATTTGAGGGATTTCTTTGCTCTAAAGGTCTGGCACTAGTTAGGCTTGGATGTACCCTTTGAGGCTGGACCAAAAACATTTATTTTCAAATTACATTCACTTTTAAATGTAACATCAAAAACAATTATTTTTCCACAGAGTCAGGTTGGTTTTGATAGCGTTTTCCATTTCTAGATGAAATCATCACAAAACTCAGGTTGTCGTTGTCAGATATTATAAGTAGTTGAATAGTTTGGGATCTGTTGCTTTTAGGGATTTGATGCCTCTTTAAATGCTTCCTTTGCTCCCTGCAGAGTCTGCTATCTAAATGTCAGAACTTATCAGCTCTGTTTCCTACCGCGGCCCTGGCCTGGCTCAGATAACCGTTGGTGTCGGACA